CGTTCAAGTGCAGCTGCTGTAGATACGCCAGAGGGATGACAGTCGACTGCCACGCTCCCCTCTCTCCGCCCTCGTCCCCCTCAGCCCCCTCGCCTTCTCCCTCCCCACCCTCATGCTCCCCCCAACCCTCATCCCGCCCCCGCACTCCCCCTCCTTCCGCATCGTACCCACTGCAAAAGCTCCCATGCTCTGTCCCTTGCACCGGGTAATGTTCATTTGCCGCACCCCCCTGCCTTCTAACTTCCAGCCTGCAACCCCCCCTCTCCTCTTCCAAAGCTCCCTTCCCTTCGAACTCACATCCTGCTACTGCTGCTGCTGGTGTCTCCCTGCCCTCCCTGCCCTCCCTGCCCTCCCTGTCCTCCCTGCCCCCTGCATGCTGCCTCGTCTTCCTCACAGAACCTGCTCTTGAACCTCATCAACCCACTTCTGCTCTTGGAACTACCACCAGCAGCAGCTCCACCAGCACCCCTACTGGCAATCGCACCACTGCCGCGCCCACCAGCACAACCCAAGCCACCGCCAACAAACCTACCAGAAGCAGCAGCCGTGGCATCGGTGTGACCACTTATGGAGGGAAGAGGAGGAGCGTCGATGCTGGCAGTTCGGGACATGAAGTGGGGCGTGGGCATGGGCATGGGGAGGCCTCTGGGGACTGCTATGGCGCCACTGTGCTGCTTGATTCGATCCAGTCGCTCCTGCACCAGCACACTGGAATGACAGAGGGCGGATGCAGGGCGGCAAGGGATGGTGTTGGGGGGCAGGGAGCAAAGGGCAAAGGGCAGGGGGCCGGAGGTTGGGATTAGGCGTCATGAGTATGGATGTATGGGGTTGACGGAGGGGCAATGGGCAGGGGTACTTAAATATCAACTGACAGGTGCTGCAGCTGAGGAATACCAACGTGCTGCATCCGCAACAGGCGTTTGGCAAGCGAGAGGGATACTCAAGGCGGGCCATCATTGGCTCAAAGGAGCACAGCAGCACAGGGAAGCAGTGCTTGCTCGCACACGGCAAGGCGGGCCGTTGACAGGGCAGGGCACACCTGCGCAGCACTTCAAAGTGCAGCTCAATGCAGGGCACGCGGCTCAAGATGCAGTAGCACCGCGGCGCTGTCACCACGCACCGCAACCCACCGCCCTCAACTCCCCCATATTCCCCCTCACTGCCACCATCGGTTCCCTCCCCTGGCTCCATCTCTCGGCTTTGTTGCATGCGCATGGCTGTATTGGCGTCATCAGCATCTCTCCACACAGCTCCATCGCCTGCCACTGCGAGCACGCCTGGTGGGCGCTGCACTATCTCCTCCACCACCATGCACACCCCGTACAGTGTCGTGTTGTTCGCCACCTTGAGAAGAAAGACAAATGCAGAGTCGTCAGACCGCTGGTATGCCTGCAGGGGGGGGGAGCGCAGGCAGGCGAACAGGCAGGGAGGCAAGCAAACAGGCAGGTGGGCAGGCAAAGGCAGGGAAAGAAATGAGTAGGCAAGGTGTGTGGCTTCTCCGGGTACATTTTCATCGAATGACTACCAGTTTGTTCCAACATCCTACGGTCGAATGTGGGAGCGCCACAAGCCGGATAAGACGGAAGCAGGCGTGTCTTGGTGTGGCATGGCGCTGACAGCATTCAATATCCCCCTCCCCATGCCAGCACATCCCCTCCCCCCATCCAGATGCAATGCTCAGGCCTTACCTGTCCAAAAATTACTCGGTGTAGGTCGCTCATGGAAGGGCTTCGGCGCAGCACAGTGGCCTGGACAGACAGGTGAGAAGACACACATGGCCAAGGTGCTCCATGGTGAGTGCCTGCTTGTGTACGCTGACTGACAGCACTCAAGCAGGAAGATTGTGTGTGTGCAAGCCAGCCCCAAAATTCACTGGAAAGGCTGTGCTGGCTCGCGGGCTTTGAAGCACCATGATCCCACTTATGTTGGAACCACTCACCTTGATCCCGTTGGGAAAGCAGAATCCTGGCAGATCCGATGGAGAGAGAGCGAGCTTCTTGCCAGGGGGGAACTTGAACAGCAGCTGTATAGGAGCCATGAAGAGAGCGAGTCAGCACAGAAGGAAGCATGAAACTTGGTGGAAAAGTCGTCCTAGTGGCCGCTAAGCAATTGATAAAGCTCAGAAAGCAGGAATAGCATGGGAAAACCAGTTACGGTGAGTTTTGCTTAGGAGATCCTACTGGGAGCTGAAACCTGACCTGTGGTTCCAATTGGACCTTGGAGCTCTCATCCTGCTCCGTCTCCTCGTCCCCATCACTCCCACAACCTTCCAGTTCCTTACTCTCCAGCCTCGCCACCCGCTGCCCTGCCATGCTGACAGCTGAAGCAGCCGCTAGTGACGCAGCCGCTGCAGCAGCAGCCGACGCAGCAGTGGCAGCAGCCGATGCGGCGGAGTCCCGGGCCTTGATGACCCAGCTCACGCTGCTGTTCCTGCCGCCTACAGCTGCGTTGCTGCCAGCCTCGCCGCCAGCTCTCCACCCCATCATGCCACTTAAGCTGTCTCTGGGGGTGTTCCCTGGTGCTAAGCTGTCTCGAAACAGGTTGCTGAACCGACTCGTCAGCCTCGTTGCACTGCTCGCCACCCTGCCAAGGCTGCTCGCGATACTCCCTCTATAATCACCTGGCTCCTCCATGCCTTTAATCCCACCAGCAAGAATAGCATCTGCCACGTGTCTCTGGCCATGGTTAGACCCACTTCCGATTTCCACTTTTGGGTCTCCACCCCCGGCTGAGATAAAACCCATGGAGTTGGTGCTGCTGGGTCCAGGATAACACGCTCCAGGCGCACTCCGCGGCTCACTCATGCTAGGCCTGTTTCCAGCTCCGCAGCTACTGTCACTGCTGTTGCCGCTGCTGTTGGAACACCCGCCACTGCTGCACGTGCTGCAGATGCTGCTGCGCGAGCTGTCAATGCTGCCACTGCCAGCAGCGCGGAGCAGCGCGCTCGGGAACCTACTACCACTACCATTAGTAACACCCTCGCGATGACCTTCCTTGGCGTATTTCTCCTGAATCCTGTTTTTGAAGTCACGTAACGAAGCCTCCTCCACAGCTCTCAGGTCGGTTCCCGGATGCAATCCAACGACGAGAAAATGCTCCATGAATGACTCCTCGCCTCCATTCGATCCCCTTTCCTGGCATATCATTAAAGCGACTCGTCAGAATGCAGGCCGCTCAAGGAGAAGCAATAACGAGCATTTTTACGATTTTCTTCTGCGGATCTAATCGGAATAGGATAAGCTACCAACGGATTGAAATTTGAGAGAATTGTGACGGAAATGGCGGTTTGAGAGAATTATGACGGAAATGGCGGTTCTGGGTATTCTTACACTGAGCTTTCGTTGCTGCTGGTACCACTCGCGCTTCTGATTCGTCAGGCGTTCCAAGTCGGATGCAACTAGGGGATGGTCGCTGCCGCACCGCTCTGCCACCACTCCCAGCAGCCATTCCTTCCAAGACCGGGTCCGCACGGAGCCCAGTATGGTTTGGTAAGCTTCCGTGCTCCTTCCGGACACTGGTCGGCCGTATTTTCTCGCATCGCGAGGATCTCCATCTTGGCGAGGCATTTTCAACGTCTACTATGCGTCCTGCACGCGATGACTTGATGTACTAATTTATTGCCATGAGGATACGTAGTGTTAATATAAAATTTCTTCGCAAGGAAAATCTGGACAAGAATTGCTACTAGGTGTGGAGGAGAAGGTATGTCAAGCGTGAATATCGTCACAATATCGCAACATTTCGGACTTCACTTTTTCGCAATGACATCCGATGTCATTGCGAAAAAGAGAAGTGACGACGAGTCGTCGTCACATCACGCATCAGCATGGTGAATTGCCAGCAGTACCAGAAGCAAGGAGCGTGTGTCAACCAGCCGCTGACGACGTCGCTACTCGTATACTCTCAAACAAACCCGAGACTGGGCGAGTAGCAGGAGCAGAGCGCTGCTCCCAAGGCAAGTTGCGGGCGAGCGGCGGCTCATGTCACCGCAGCACGACAGTAGTGTCGCCTTGATGGTGATCAGCTCGAGGGAGGTTGGTCTCCCAACCCAACCCAACCAAGGGAAGTGCGAACAAGCAATCAGCGCGGTGCGCTGCATTTGTCCCGATTGGCTGCCCCGACTCTTCCTGACCCCACACAGAAGTTCGAGGCAGCCAGGGAAAGTGCCGCGACGCGTAGCCTTGGGCATTTTTGAATTCCGACATTGAACTTCTCGTTAATCGACAGGACTTGTCGACACACTTTACAGAAGAACAAATACTAACCCGAATTGTTCTAAAGGAATTCTTCGCCACCGCAACCCACCCAGTGTACGACAAATTGACAGAGCATCCCAATTCCCAAGGTCGCTAAAGCCCTGTCCGCACCGAGAGCTGTCGGCATTTCCCAAGTCTGTGCCTGGCCGTCTACCCAAGTTACTTAGCGCCACTTAGAACTTCGGACCTGATGGCCTCCTTTTAGAAGTATTCTCAAAGACTAACCCCGCTGCTCTAACGTTGCGGGAAGCTCGCGCGACGTTTCAAGCTGCACCACTCTCAAGCTCCACAGACTCTCAAATCGTTTAAAAGTAAATACCTCTCGACAGGTCGCGCGGTCGTGGAATGGCGAATATGGAGATGGTGCTGCCGACCTCTCCCAGCCCCTCATCGCCGTCCAGCAGTGGCAGCGCGGACGAGCTCGCGTCGATGCTCGAGGCGGAGTTGGAGGACGTACGCGTCGACGAGGGGGACGAGGAAGCGGACGACGAGGAGCAGGGCGAAGGGGAAGCGGAGTTTGCGGAAGCGGAGGCGGGGGAGGCGGAGGAGGGGGGAGAAACAGCGGAAGCAATCGGCGATGCAGTAGCGGATTACGACGAAACTGATGCCGCCGACACAATCGAGGACGACGCGATGCGGGAAGAGCCGGCTGCCGGCGGCGATGGCTCAGCAGGGGGCGCGACGACGGGACCGGCCGAACCGCAGAAAGGGCTCGACGAGGATGGGGGGGGGAAACGGCGGCGGATGTGCGGCGGCAGCGTGAGCGGGGGAGAGGCGAGCGCGGCAGTGTGCGCAGGGGAGAACGCTGGGCGCGCAACTGACCGCGGAAGAGGCGCAAGTGCCGCCAGCGGTGGCCGGGGGAATGGCGGAAAAGGGGGTAAGGAGCGCAAGAGCAGCGGATGCCCGCCACATCCGGGGTTTATGTGGGGCGTGTGCATCCGGTGCGGTATTCTCAAGGAGCGCGCGGAGGCGGACGAGGAGGCGGGGGAGGAAAGGGGTGCGGGAATAGCTCGCGGTGGTGGAAGTGGTGGCGCGGCGGTGCGGGGTGGGCCTGGTGATGGGGTCAGGGAGAAGCCGCCTAAGGCTGCTGCTGACGTGGCAACCGGTGTAGCCCTTAGATATATTCACCACGTGAGTGTAAAGACACTTCCATCATGGGGATGCAATTTTGACCTACTCCCCACTCAGCACCTGTCTCCATGCTCCATCTGTCTATCCGTCCGCCTGCCTTTCCGTTCCCATCGTATCCAATGTGCCGTATCCCCTTCAACCCCTCTCACCGTCGTCCGACCTACCCCTCCCACGCCCTGCCCAACCCTTCCCATCCCCACTGAAACCAACTTCCTGCCTTGAGAAAACCTAAACCAACCCATACCCTCCTCTCCCCTCTCCCCCACCACCCCCCCACATCCTCAACTCGCAGGCGCTGGAGGTGTCAGCGGAGGAGGCGGCGCGCATGGTGGGGGAGGAGCGCGCGCGCATGGAGCGGCGGAGGCGGCTGTACCTAGTCCTGGACCTGGACCACACGCTGCTCAACTCCGCACGCGACATTGACGTCCCACCCGCGCATGAGGCCTACCTTGCTGCTGCCTACACCATCGGCGGCGTGCCGCCTGCTGCCCCGCCTGCTGTGTCACCACCAGCTTCCCTTGCGGCCGCTGCTGCTCCTGCTGCCGCGGCCTCTCCTCCTGCCGCTCCTGCCGCTGCTGCCGGTGCCGATGCCGGTGCCAGCGGTGGTGCTGTGTGTGCGCGTGCAGCTGAAGGCACTGGGTCAGAAGCGCCCGCTCCCAGTGCTGCCACAGGGGAGCAACAAGCAGGAGAGCCATCAGCAGCAGGCGGGGCGGCGGATGCTGCAGAGCCGGCAGGGGAGCAGAGGGAACAGGGCGCAAGCACAGGCGCAGGCACAGGTGAAAACCCCGGGGCTGCCCCGACTACTGCCGCCACTACCGCTGGGCCCGCCACTCCCCCCGCCGCCCTGCCCCCCATCACCCTCTTCCGCCTGCCCCACATCCGCATGTGGACAAAACTCCGGCCGGGAATAGCCTCGTTCCTGCAGCGCGCGCACGACCTGTTCGACCTGGTGGTGTACACGAATGGGGAGCGCGCCTACGCGCACGCCATGGCGGCTCTGCTGGACCCAACGGGGCGGCTGTTTGGCGGGCGCGTGATCTCGCATGGGGATAGCACCGTGCGGGGGTTGAAGGACCTGGATGTGGTGCTCGGGGCCGATAGCATGGTGCTCATTCTTGATGACTCTGAAGTGGTGCGTGGGGGGTGTGGGGGGATGGGGCCGTTGGGTGGTGCGGGAGGAGGGGTGTGGGGAGGGGAATGGGGAGGCGGGGGTGGTGATGGGGAGGATGGATTGGAAGATTGGGGGGAAAGAGTGGGGAAGGGTGTGCGAGGGGGGGAGAATCGGGAAGAGGGGTTGGGAGGGTTGCTCAGGGGGGTGAATGGGGGGGAGGAGGGGGTGGGCTCCTCTCGTTTCCTGCACACCCCCACTCACCTGTACCGTCGATGCTCCTTCCCCTCCTCTCACCCTAGCTCCGCTCCCTGCTCTCTTCATGCTGCGTGTGTTCCTCCCCCTCATTCGCACACCATAATTCATGACTTTCATTACCTCACTCCCCTCCCTTGACCCCCAGAACCTTCTTCTTCCCGCTCCTCCCCTTCTCCTCACTCCCCTATTCTGTCCCCTTCCCTTCCCCACTCCCTTTCCTTCCACCCCCTCCTTCCCCACTCCCGCCCCCTTCCCCACTCCCGCCCCCTTCCCCACTCCCCGTCCACTTCTCCATGCCCCGTCCCCTTCCCCCTCACTCCTCCCCCACCAGGTGTGGCCGAAGCACCGGCACAACCTGCTGCTAGTGGAGCGGTACCACTTCTTCGCCAGCAGTCGCCAGCACTTCCTCTTACCGGGCCCGTCGCTGCTCGAGTCCCACGTGGATGAAGCTGATCAGGGCGGCCTGCTCGATGCGCTCTGGACGCCCCTCTCCCGCACGCACCAACGCTTCTTCCAGCAGGTGGGGAGGGGAGAGGGGGAGAGTGGGGGGAGGGGGTGGAGGATGGTTGTTGAGGCGGGAGGCAAGGAGTGTTGTGGGTTGACTTGATAGTGTGCTGACCCACCCTCCCACGTGGATGAAGCCGATGCGGGTGGGGTTTCTATGCCTCCTGGACGCCTCTCTCACACACGCACGCACCCGATGTTCTTTCAGCTCGCGTGGTTAGTGAGGGATTTGGCTCTCTGTTCTCTAGGCGCCCTGGGGTTCAGTGCTCTAGTCATCCTTCTTCTGCAGATAGTGATATCTTTTTCAGCAGGTGGAAGGCGGGGAGGGGATGGGGGAGTTTGCGGGTATGGGGATGGTTGGGTGGGGGTGGGTGGGAGTGAGGCAGTTCTGTGTGTGTGTGAATTTGCCAGAATGCATTGCACATCCAGTCAATTTGTCATTGTCTGCACACTCTTTCCCTCGGTTCCCCATTACCTCGCTCCCTTCTCCCTTTCGTCTCTCTTTTCCTTGTTCTTTTCCTCTCGAGCTCGCCTCTTCCTCCCACCACTATGCCTAATTTCCCTTGTCATTCCACCCTCCTCCTTTTTCCCTTCACCCTGCTCCATCCTCCCTGCCCCCTGCCTACCTGCCTGCTCTCTTGCAGGTGGACCAAGGGCAGCACTCAGCAGACGTGAGACAGGTAGGTGCACCTATCCATCCCACCACACCTCATCATTTCACCATGCTAACCTCTCACCTCGCACCTCCTCACTTTACCACGCACATCTCGACTCGCTGCCTCCCTTTTCTTGCCTCACCTTCCCCAACCCTCGGCCAACCCCCACCCCCCCACACCTCATGCCCAGATCCTAGCACAGGAGCGTGCCACCATCCTATCAGGCTGTCACCTCGTCTTCAGCCGAGTCTTCCCCACCGATGCCTCCCGCCCGCAAACCCACCCGCTCTGGCGCATGGCCGAATCCATGGGCGCCACCTGTCACACCCAGATTGGCCCGCAGATCACGCACGTTGTCGCGCTGGACTGCGGCACGGATAAGGCCATCTGGGCCGTGTCGCAGAAGCGCCACCTGGTGCATCCTGGTTGGCTGGAGGCCTCACTGCTGGTGTGGAAGCGGGCAGACGAAAAAAAGTTTCCGGTGGACTGGGGGAAGGGGCGGGCAGGATGGTGCCCGAGCATTCAAGTGGTGGCAACTGTGCCTATGCCGGCCAAAACTGCTGCTGTTGGGGGTGCAGGGGTGGCGGTGGGTGAAAAGGATGAGGAGACACGAAAAAGCTTAGTACCCGAGGGTTCTGAGGCTGCAACAGCAGGAGTGGGGGGGACTGGGGGTGAGGGTGGGAGTGGTGTTGTGGGGAAAGAGTCGGAGGCGATGGTTGGGAATGCAGATGCAGTGGTTGGGAGTGGTGCAGATGCGATGGACAAACAAGTGTAGGCGTTGTCTTTGGGAGCAACCATGCTGGCACCCACGTGCCAGGTCACTTTGCATGAAACTAGCTACGGTAGGTCGGATCGAATGTGCGGCTGAATGCCTTTCTGTTCTGTACGTCCAAGTTACCTGGTGGCTTTACATTGTGCATGTGTATGCTTCTACAGCATGGGGACTCCTCAGCTGACATGTGCAAGAGGAGAGTGGAACAGAAGTGCGGTGCCTATTGGTACAAGTTTCATCTTGTGTGTTTTGTTGCTGACAAACCTGCGCAGAACACCACAATAATGATACATGGCTGTCTGTCACACACAAAATGGCATTGTATTGACCTAAGCTGCTGCTGGAACTGTACCAAGCCACGGTATAACTGCACTAGCATCAATGTGAGCTACCTGATGCTTGTTACCACACAATCATGTGCACCCATGCACACAGTGCAGAGAGATACACTCACTCACTCACTTAAACACACTTTCACAAACACACACACACGCACACACACACTCGCTCACACACTCACTCACACACACACACACACATTAAATCAAGTAGTTGCAAAACTGCCACTCCTTGCTGCACTGCATGTCCTCATCTCATGATGTCTGGGTAGCGTGGGTCCACCCCATGCCTTCCAACTGCTGCCGGGGATTCTGACAGCGCATGGCTGGAAGGTGACTTCTGGGGAAGAGATACCTGCTGCCGCCGCTGCTGCTGCTGCTGCTGCCTTTGCTGCACACCATACGGCATGTACCTGTCATACTGCTGGTACAGCTGCGCTTGCTGCACCTTCTCAGCATGCTGCCGGCCGTCCTGCACAGGCGAGCCATGCAGCATCACATGCACAGGCAACACCTGTGGAGCATGCTGCATCCCTCTCTCTGTGTGACCCTGCAGCGGCTGCACTGGCTGTACCTGCCCCCATTCAGGCGTGTGGGGGCGCGCAGGTGGTGTGCGAGGGGGGGCCCGGTCCCACGGCGAGGAGAATAAAGTCTCTCTTTCCTGAGGGCTAAAGGACGACGACCGTCGGTGCCTCTGCTGCTGTGGCACTTGCTGCTGCTGTTGCTGCTGCTGCTGCTGCTGTTGCTGCATATACCGTTCATCGCACCCCCCATCGCCTCCTCTGCCGCTGCCCCATCCTAAGTAACCCCCCCCCTGGACTGGCCCTGGTAACCCTACCTGTCTACTGCCACCCGTGCACCCGTCACTCTCCAAGCTTGTCTCTTCTGGCCAATGCGCGACTCGGCTGCCTCCCGGAAAGAGACGCGCGTGTGCCAAGCCCTCCCCTTGCCCCTCGCCCATGTATCGCCCGCTATCCACGCTCGCGTTCCTAGGGAACGCGGCGCGTCCGCGCCCGAACCCCGGGGCTTGCCCATTTCCAACATTTCCGCCTCGCCAACCCCCCCGATCCACGCCGTTCCGCTCCGCCGTCGTCCAGTCAGCCGCCCCCCCCGCTTGCTGCGCAAGGTCCGCGGGAGCGAGCGGAGTGCGCGGAGTGACAGGTCGTCGTGCTTGCGAAGCAATGCTACCGGGGATGGCGCAGGCGCCGTCGTCTGCCTGCTCCCCCTCCGCGCTCCACACGTGCGGGGAGAGAGAAACGTGAGTTAAGGATGTTGGTATCGTTAACTTGTGTGTGTGATCCGATTTCCACGGATTTCTCTGATTGAAGCTGCTATTAATCTCCCTCCATTCATCCCCCGTTTCTTGCTTAGCGCCGTCCACGCAGGACGAGTCACCCCTGCCCTCCTCTCCTTTCTCCTCCCGCATCTCCCGCATCTCCCGCAAATTTCCCAGAGACAGCGACGCGCGGCGTCCCTTCGCCGAACCCAAATTTCCGCGCAACCAGCCCCGCTCGCTGCCGTTGTCCGCAGGCGAGGCGGAGGTTTGTCGGTCCTTACCCCCGCCGATGCGCATGCCCCGCCAGTTCCTCCCCGCGCCCACGAGATCGCGCAACCATCCCTTGTCGTCTCCCGCGGCTGCTACTGACACTGGCGCGGCGCCTTCCTCTTCTTCCGCCTCCTCCGCCACCGCGGACCACGGCGCGCGATGGGGCTTCTCCGACCCTAATTCGCCGGAAGGGCTGCCCACCGAGAACGACGCGCGTCGACGGCGAATGCGGTTCCACACGCCTCCTCCGCCGCTTCCGCTGCCGCCCCTGCCAGCGCCGTGCGCAGACGACTTGTCGTCCGCGCCTGGCGCCGCCGAAGAGACCTCACGCCGATCGCACATGCTCTGACTGCGCGGAACGTGCGCGCGGAGCAGGTGCGGCAATGCGGGCGCGTCGAGCTCGGGGAGGTCGTCGAGCGACAGCGACATGCGACGCATCCCCGAACTGGACGAACGGCGGGCGCCGGCGCTCAAGCCGTTGCTCTCCGCGCCCTTACCTCCCCCCCCTCCGCCGGCCGCGGCCGCCATGCTGTTGCGCCTGCCAGGCCCGCCGCGCTTTCTCCGCGGATCCAATCGGCCCCACGGGTCGGACACGGCCACGGCACTGTGCGCGCTGCTGTTACTGCTGCAGCTGCTGCTGCTGTTCGCCCTGCTGCAGCCACTCCCGCTGCCCCCGCTTCCGCCGGCGCCGCCTGCGCTGCTCAGACCGCTGGCGTGACTTATGCTGCGGCGCACGGGGACGCTTTGCTGACGTAACGTGCCCGCTTTGGAGGTTGCAAGACTCCCTTCATCAGAGCTTGCATCAACCGTGTATTCCGCTAGCTCCGGGCTACTACCCGCCGCATTCCACGCTACGCGAGAAACGGGCTTGAGGTAATACGTGCTGCCGGGGCGCAAGTTCTTGGCGGAGTCAAGGACCTGATCGTCCGCGGAATTGACGCAGTGCCCCGGCGGATGCTCCGCCAGCACGTCTGCAACCGTCTTGCCGGGACCGTACATGCTGACGCTGCCGTCGGGAAGCACGACGACGGCTAGACGTCGCGGCTGGTTGAACAGTAGCCGGCCGACGGCTTGGATCGGCAGCCATGGCTTCCTCTCCACGTCCATTGCGTGCTTCCGCTACGCGCGAGGGTGTTAGTGACGCTGCGACGTCACGAAGATTTGGTGTGTGGGACGCTACTAACGGGTCCGCGAACTAGCCCCGCAACGAACGGGAATGGTGCTCAACGGCTGGCTCAACAAGGATCGACGAGGCCATGAGAGTAGCACATTGGTACAATTATCACTGGGCGCGGCGAAAAGGGCGTGGAGCTCGTTGAGGTAGTGAGGATGGAACGCGCCAGAATATTACAAATGAATAATCTGTGGTCTCTAAGTGATATGGTCAGTGCTAGGAGCGAGCCCCTGCTTGGTTGGTGCGAGTAGGAATTTGGTTGTCAGCCCAAATGGTCATAGACTCGAGTGTTGGTTCCATTCGAATTGAACGGTATTCTCCGTGCTGTTTCGATGCTTGGTTAGTAGATCATCCTGCGTTTCGTGAGATACCGTACGTTTCCCTCGCAGACGCACAAAAGAGATGCCTGCCTCCATCAACCTCATCCCCCCTGCCATACAAATTACAGTACAGTGCCATCCGCCCCGCCGCCTTTCCTTTCTGCCGTGTCAGAATCTAGAAAAAAATTCTTCCGCCTGGGAGGGTTCGTCTCGTCAACTGAATTTTTGCACAGCATTTATTCTTCGGGTAGAAACTGCTTCGGGCCTGCCAATGGGAGCGCGAAATTTGTGATGTCGTACATTCAGGGATCCCCGATTCAGATCTTCGTGCTTGAGCATAGGGCCAAGGGAGGGCCCCTGTTGAACTCTCCTGAGTCGTAAAAAACAATATCAGAACTACCCCTTGTTTACACACCGTTGTAACTTCCCACCAACTTTTGATGCATGGGGCATTTTGTGAACGCTCCGGATGATCCGAAGTTTGGGTTCACACTGAACGGGAGGAACTGGTGTTTCTGGGAGAAAACTGGTGTTTACGGCAGGCTCAGCAATCTCACTAGGGGAGTTCGCAACGCTAAGGGGAAGTCAGGGGTGGAGGCTCGGAAGACTGACCCGCGTGTGACCAGGGAGAGATGGGGCGCCAACTGCAGGTGGGACAAAGTCTGCAGCATAGGTGTATTTCCGAGAAGGCACTCGTATGGAAGATAACGACGTGTTGCGACCCACCCAGGTCGGGTCGGGTCGGGTCGACCAGGTCGGGTAGCCCCGACCGACCCAACCCAACCGAAAGGCGACTCGAGAAAACAAATCATTTCCCGTTGCCTTTTCTGCAAATTCGAAGTAAAAAGAAAGCAAGTTCTACGCAGGTGGAAGGTGGGCGAGGAAATGTTTGGCGATCTTACCGGGTATCTTTTTGTTAAACGAAATACAAGCGACATCCGCGCGAGAACCACAGATTTCGCAGGCTCGGGTAACCAGCCCCAGTTCGGTTGGGTTGGGTCTGGTCGGCCTGGTTGGCCCGACCTGGTTGGCCCGACCCGGGTCGGGCAGACCCGGTTGGGTTGGGTCGGGTCGACCTGGTCGGGTAGACCCGCGACGCAGCCTTCGTAGAAATTCGGGATCGGGTGCTGGTCGACCCGACCCGTGTGGGTCGCAACAGTAAACTTCATCAGAAACCACCACCCGTTTGAAGCGGGGAGGGCAGGGGGGTGTGGTGGGGGCGAGAAAAGGCTTGCAGTCAAGTTCAACTCAAAATGCTTAAAAACTCTTGTTTCAAAGATCTCGAGTGGTGTGAATTTGAGGAGGGAGTAGGTCTATTCATTCTGGGAGGGGACAGGTCAGGTTAGGCGGCTTATATAATGGTCTAACCAAGTATAACAAAGCATTGAGAAACTGGAAATACGGTCTACACAAACAAGCAGCCCAAAGGCAAGGGAAATAGGTCAGCATTCAGGAGGAGGGTGCAGAATTACCCCGCAGTTGTCATTTCAAGGCTGATCTTCCTCCGCCCAAGTGCAGGGGTTGCAACTCGGCCACGCAATATGAACATGGAGCTGTCCTCATCTGTGAATCAGGCACGTGCGAACCTGCCCATCCAGAAGTCGACGACTGGCGAATTCGGACGAAGATCTGCTGGATCATCGTTTGTTGGACACCAAGCATCGTCAGCCAGTGAAACACGGAGTGAGGGCTGCCCCAGCACAGCGACGATGTACTGTACTATATTTACTGTAGCATGTAAATACAGTTCCACATAAATCTACACCTATCCTGCGATAATTCCACACCCCCTATCTTCAAGCCCTGGGGTACCTTTCCTCGAAAAAGCCTCATTTCGAAGGTAGTTAGAAACGATCGCGAGAGTTTCGAGGGTAATAAGACACGACCTCAATGAGAGTTTAACACTCTATCTTTAAGGCACTGAGAATTTTGCCCGCTCACTCTGATTACAAATTTGAGTTTCGAATAGCCAGAACGCTGACGGTTCTTTACTGATAGACCCGTAGTGTCAGGGTGTCCGTCTCATCGATCCTCAAGCCGCATAGGGTGTCTGGCGAAAACGGGGGTAGGGGTGTGGAAATACCGGAGAACAGGTGTACTTAATGACGTCACCGTTTATCCCAAACAAAGGCGCTGGATGGAGGATACGTGGTGGCAATGAATGCACGGATGTATGTACCCGAAAACTTACAGCCCCTGACGGTGGGTGAGGCTGTCACGTCATGGTTGGGCTGTCAGTGGCATGAACATTCGATTTTTACATCCCTCACTATCCACAAACCCTGAGGGCAACGCTGCATTCTGTGCACACCTCCCCTTTCCTTCTCTCTAGGACACCCTGCGAAATCCAAGTTCGCGCTCCCTGACAGCCAAACCGGAGTCCGCGATTCAAGCATTTTCACAGCACAATAAGACTCGACGGTGCCGAATCACAAATTTACTCATTTTGAGGAGTAATAGAATGAAAATCTAAAGGCACTTAGGGCGCGTGTCTTTTGGTGTAGAGACGTTCGGATTTTTTGTTTAACTTTTGCTGGTTACCCTTTTCGTTAATCTTGTGAAATTCTTCGCAACTACGTCGTGTGTCCATGTACACTGTCGGCATCAAAGAACCTTGGACTCATAAGTTGAACTCTCATCAACAAACACGTTGGCACGAAAGTGCAAGCATGTGTCCAACTCACCACTGTCAGCGACGATACGAAGTCAGCGAAGCTCGCAGCTAGCATCGTGCGCACGAGGGTGCTCGTCAGCGTGTGTCAAGAGCCCAAACCGGGTAACCTACGACAGTAGGTCGCGGCTCGGCTGGGCTGCAAAAGTTCAACTTTTGTGTGTCTTGTGATTCTCGGGAGTGTTGGAACCGCGACTCGGTTTGCAGATGTTGAAAACTCAAGCCTAGGTCGACCTATGTTCAAATGTGTACAATTCAACTCAAAATCCGAGTTTCGCTTATAAAAACCAAAAGACACGCGCCCTTAAAACGAGACTGCAAATTGTGACCCCCGGCCCGGCTTGAAATGGCCGCATGGGTCACTCACGGGAATGGGGGGAAACTTACTGTTAGGTCTGACATATCTGACGGGAGAAACAAGCTTGTTTAGCAACATGATTGGCCAGCGATTGAGGAAGTCAGAGCAGAGGTTTGCAATTGGTTGCGGCAACTGACAAACGTCGCTCGCAAACCGGCTATGCAGTCACTCACGGAACGCTGGAAACCAATCTACGTGTGAACAAGGTCACAATCCCGGGCACGAGCGTCAATGGACTGCGCGGTCTTTCAAGTTGGGTCCACTCGAATTTCAAGCTGGACTTGGGTTACACGACCCTTTCCGGGCCCGCTAGTTCCCATCGTTAGCTGAGAGAACAAAGAAGCTCCGTGGCCGGCTTTAGCGTGAACGTAGCCCCAGGTCCGAGCCTGGATAGATTCTGCCTATTCCAGACACACTTTAGACATTCCGTAGGACACTCTGTAGTTCGACCTTGAGTGCACATCACCTCTATTGAGAAACCCTGCAGGGCGTATATCCGCGTTTCTCACCTGTCTCGTCCCCTTCGATCCCCACTCCTCTCGCGTTTCGCAATCGCGACGATCGCTGCCGTTGTGGGCGTCCCGCGCTGCGTATCTCGGTGCGATCGCCCTGGCCGTAACGCTTCATGCGCGAAACGTACGCTCTTGAATACAAGCGCTTAGAAACCAGTCAGGGAGATCGCCAAACACGCCTGCCCACGCACCTCGGAGTCTCGCAAGTCGTCGCGCTTCCCTCCGACCCTCGCGCACCGAAATCGAAACCGCCGACTAAGCAGGTAGCGATCCCGCGGAACGCAGGTAACCGCGAAACACGCCATGGTGATGACTAGGGTTCAGACGGCCTGCACGCCCATGAGTTTCAGGCCGTATCGTTCTTAGTGAAACCGCGAGGTAGCGTGCTGAGGGTGTGGACGATGTCGCACATTCCTCCTTCCCCCATGGCCTGCTGCCCCATTCCGTGATCCCCCATTCCCCGCTCCCCCAGCAGCGGGCGCCTCAAGGTACGCGCCCTCACCGCTTTAGACATGTCTCACGGGCAGCACAGACGCGACATGCTGTCCGCGAGACGTCAGACGGTCAGCAGATGCGCGAAATGCAGCCCGTCATTTTCTGACGGATGTATAGGCGCGAAATTCGTAATGCGTCTGTCTGACAGGCGGCATTCGCGCGCTATGTGAAAAACGGCCGACAGACGTCACTGTCCGACGGCCAGGATACGCGAGCCCTGCCCAATGCGGCTGTCCGACAGTGACGAGCACCCAACCGCGCGAAATGAGTGACATCCCTGCCTGACGGGCAGCAGGCGCACGGAATGATGCCCGCCACTGTCTGACGGGCAGCACGCGCGGCCCATTCCCGGTTCCCCCCTTCCCCGTTCGAACATTCCCTGCTCCCCCATTCCCTGCTCCCCCATTCCCTGCTCCCCCATTCCCTGAGATTCATTCCCTGCTCCCCCATACCCTGCTCCCCAATTCACTTTCCCCCCATGTGTTGCTCCCCCAATACCCGTCCCCCCGTTCCCCGTTCCCTCATTCCCTGCTCCCCCATTCCCTGCTCCCCCATTCCCTGCTCCCCCAGTCCCTGCTCCCTATTCCCAATGTGCATTCCCTAAGACAGAATTCCCCGCTCCGCCATTCCCTCACCCCCATTCCCCGCTCCCCCATCCCATGTTCCCCCATTCCCCGCTCCCCCATTCCCTATTCCCCCATTCCCCGCTCCCAAGTTTCCTGTCCCCCGATGCCCTTACCACAACAATTCCTTGTCCCCCCATGCCCTATTCCCCCATTCCCTGTTCCCCAATTCCCCGCTCCCCCATTCCCTGTTCCCACATTCCCCGCTCCCCCGTTCCCTGTCCCCCGATTCCCAGTCCCCCTAGTCCCCGTCCCCCCATTCCCCGTTCCAGCATTCCCTGCTCCCACATTCCCTGATCCCCCATCCCCTGCTCCCCCATTCCCTGTCCCCAAGGCTTCCCTGCTCCGCCATGCCCTGTCCCCGAGCTCCCTGCTCCCCCCTTTCCCTACCTGCTGGTTCCCCCTTTGCCATCTCTCTTAAACATCAATCCCATCCCTCCCATTGCCAATAACCAATTTACCTAGCATCAAGGAAAGCGGAGGGGGTAGACAGAAACGTGGTGCCTTGGTCGTCTTAGCCATTGTTTACCCCGCTGCCACTCATTCTACTCCCCCTGCTTACCCGTTGTTTCCCCCCCTCTCTTTCTTTCTTCTCCCCTGCATACCCATTGACTGTATTCCTTCTTCTCCCCCCTGCTTCCCCTCCTTCTCCCCCCTGCGCGTCAGACCCCAGTCTCGGTCGAATGCAGTAGACGTCTACTTTTGCTGGACTAATTACCGTAACGTCTTTAGCTGTGGACGGCAGCGTGCGAGAGGAATGCGGCTGGGTGTTGGCAATATGAGGGTGAGTGTGCTTGGCGTGGCGAGTTTGCGTAGTATTTTGGTAGGGCGTATCCAGTGTGTGTTGTGTTGCTCTAGGAAACGTTGGGTGGGTGGTCAGTTTGTTGATTGGGAGCGGCGGAACACAGTCGCACTACTGTGTGAAAACCATATGGGCCCGTGTGTGTCTCTGCACATTGGGGCGATGCTCTTGATTGGTCGTGATTCCTGCCCAAACGTTTGGGTACACCAGCCCTGCTCGGTTGCTGTGAAGCTCGATATATTTCTATCTTATGCAAAAAAGAAGATTCAAGTTGGACCCAACTAGAAGGGGGGGGTCACTATTTTGCCTGCTGGCTTTAATCTGTCCGTAAATCAAATGTCTCCACATCCCTTGTCTGAATGTAGCCATATGCTGACTGAATGTAGCAAGATTGCTTTGAAGTTTCGTACACGGGAAGTTTCCCCTTCCAATTAAGCAGTCCTATTGCATGCACTAATGACCCAAGGTAGCACCCACACAACAATCTAGGCAGAGGGAAGCGGAGCATAGCCACCGCCACCACGCGCATGCTGCTGTAGCCATTGGGTGTTGCTCTGTATCCAGTGGATGCCGCTCTGCACCCAAGTGGGCCTGCTTGCCTCTGGCGTGACGAGCACGAAGAGCAGCGCCACGGCCAGAAAGATGAGCACTATGAGGACGATTATGGCCCACCACCAGAAAGTGGCGCGGGAGGGAACTGCATGTGGAAGGGATGACAGCAGCAAGAGCAGAGGGAGCGATACTTTAGGGCAGACATGCTTGGAAGTAGGTAGTAAGGATGACATGCTTGTAAGTTATTTATCCAACCCAAAAGTACGAGATATGGTATCCGCTGTAACTTCATACTCATGGCACCAAGACATGCATAAGGCAGGGATGGATGGCACATACCCAGCAGCACATGCACATGGTAAGTGGTGGGTGAGTAGCCATGACCCTCCACCACGACTTCAGCATCCGCACGTGCCACAGCAGCGCCCTCCTTGATGTCGTGCCACTCCAGCTGAGGGCTGGCAGTGTTGTTCGCCACTTCATCCCCATTCACACGCACTTTCAGCCTCTTGCACTTCTCCTCCTGAAGGGCACACAGTGCGGGGTGGGAAAGGAAGAGTCAAGATACAGAAGAGGAATCACGAGCACAGGTGCATGCATGCAACAAAGACGCATTGGTAGCAGCGCTCAGCGCCCACTCGAAAGAACGGTGGTGGTGAAAGGTGGAACGGGCTTAAAAGCGGTGCCAATGACAGACGTACCCCGCACAGTACGGGCGTTAGAGTCACACCCCGTGAAGGAACAGTCACATTGTAGGTAGTGACGTCAGGCGAGAATTGCGGGGCCAGCAGATCTCGCGGCGTTCCCTCCACTCCCATGATCAGATTGTTCAGATGGGCCGGGGCAGGCGGAGGAGAAGGGGGCGGAGAGGGGGGCGGAGAGGGGGGCGGAGGAGAGGGGGGGGGAGGAGAGGGAGGCGGAGAGGGGGGCGGAGGAGAGGGAGGTGGAGGAGAGGGCGGAGGAGAGGGGGGCGGAGAGGGGGGCGGAGGGGGTGACGGGGGCGGAGGTGAAGGGGGCTTGGTGGGGGGGATGGAGGATGTGGGGATGGTGGGGGAGGCGATGGTGGTGGCGGGGATGGCGGTGGCGGAGAAGGGGGAGGAGACGGAGGGGGTGGAGAGGGCGGAGGCGGAGAAGGAGGCGGAGACGGTGGGGGGGATGGCGGGGGGGGCGGCGATGGTGGGGGAGGGGAAGGCGGCGACGGCGGGGGTGGAGGTGGCGTCGGAGGAGGGGGGGATGGCGGAGGCGGCGAGGGAGGAGGTGGTGACGGCGGGGGTGGTGAGGGGGGCGGCGGCGAGGGCGGCACGGGGTACGGGGTTGGAGCGGGCGCATCTGCGCGAACGAGTTCATCTCTCCAAGGCGCCGAAGGCCGTACCTCCGAGGACTGCCCTCGTAAGCGCGCGAGCAGCGATGTCCATCTGCTGCTGGCAGATCCGCTGCTCCCTCGCGCACTGCCAGTGGCACGGCTTAGCTCCTCCTCCGACCCATGAAGCGTATTGGCATCTGCCCGCAAGGCCGCGGCATCAGAAAACATGCGGCGGGGGAGGAATAGACGAGGAGGAGGTAAACGACGAGCAGCCGCGCGAGACACGAAAAGCTTCCTGACTGAGAAGCCATGTCTGGACCCTCGAATCTAGAGCCCCCCTACAAAGAACTTGGCGCAATAGAGGACAGATGAATGTTCAAGCCCGACACCTCAAGAAACCGAGGAGAATGCTGCGCTAGAGGCTTCGCAGGAGTACGAGGAAATGCGGAAAAGCGCTTCGCCAAGAACCAATCGTAGGGCTGCTGCATGGTGGATTCACATTGGAGCCCCAGATTCCTGACATGACGAATCCGAAGTCACCACGTGGGATGCCTTTGTAAAGATACATACTCGCACAATGGTCCCCGATATATAGTTGGATATTGATAGTACACTGTCTTTGATATAGACCTTGTATGTGCTTACAAAATGGAATCAATATTGAAACCAATGGTCGGTGATGATCATGGTCGCTAATTTTCGTGCCATTGGACGGTGTCAATGCGGATATTGGGGAAAGTGCAGAAGGGATGACTTCACAGTGGGCGGAAGACGTGACTCCGCTAGGAGTGATTTTGCGCACGGAAATGTGGGCTCCGCGCTCCGGTGGGACAGACATTGAATGCGACACGCACAATCTATTCTGAAAGGGAAAGGTGCCCGTCGTGCATCATAGAGGAAAGTATCACCAAAATTTTGCCAAGCAAACAAGGCTATAAGCTGGAAACAGATTTCGAAATAGCCAGTGAAGGCGGAAGTGTTTTTCGTTCGAAAACCCAAACTGACCGCTGTGAACAAACAACAATTTTTTACAATAGTCGTGCCGCATGTGTGCAACCAACCACCCCGCAACCAGCCCTGGTGTGAAAGCGAAGCAACCAAGAGCAAAGGTATTCACGACAACGACGAATCAAAACCATCTGCTTCCCGTACTAAGTTCTACCCCGAAGCCCGTCACAAGACTTTTCTTGTATTAAAAAACCACGTGTACATCAGCTACTAAGTTCAATTTCGCAGTCGCATTAGGCGCTAAACAAGACTGTGCATCCAACAGCAGCAGCTCCCTAGATTAGCGAATGTAACTTGAGATGGCAGCAGAATGGCTCTGGCTGGAACCGTCGTGGCAGCCGTTCAACGATGGAAGTAGTGGGTGGAGCAGTAGCGGACGAAGCAGCAGAAGCAGCAGCGGGAAGAACGCGAAGGACTGCCGCTGCTTGCCGTCTGACCAGACCGACTCGACCAATGAACCCAAAGAGGTGCGCTCGCGCCTTTTCCCGCAACAAGCTTATCATCACCTCATCACCAGCAGCTTTCAAGCCGCGTTAACGCTTAGCACGCTCGCGTCGCAAGCATCTCAGTCGTTCACGCCTCGCTCTTCAAGCCACCTTCCCCCGTCGCGTCTTGCCACACCTGGCAGGTGACGGTCGTCAAAACGAGGTTTGGACCAATTCACGTGACAGTCGTTGGGGATAGGAGCAAGCTGCCGCTTATTACGTATCACGACATTGGCATGAACCGTAAGTTGGTCATTTCGAGAATAGAAGGCCGAAGAGGGGTGCGGATGGGGGGGTGAAAAGGCCGACGGTGAGCGGGAAGAGGAGAGGCTGCACTGCTGCCCACAGCTTTCAGCAAACGGTGCTGCTTTCCAGAATTCTGTCCGCGCAACAAGTGTCCCTTGCGCGTTTACCCCTTCCGCCTTGTGCGCGCAGACGCGACGTGCTTTGGTCCGCTGATGCGCTGCCCTGACACGGCTCCTATGCTGCGCCACCACTTCTGCTTCTTCCACATCGACGCACCGGGGCACCAGGTGCGTGGGCCGCGCGGTGTGCGCCGGTGCGTTGAACGCTCTGCGCGTGTGTTGCGGGGAACATGCGACTTATCACCTTCTCGTTCTTCCCCCGGTCTGCTTCGCAGGGCGGTGCGCGGCATCTGCGCGGATCCGCAACCCACAGCACGGCGCAGGACATGGCGGACCAAGTCGCTGACGTCATCAACGCGCTAGGGTGCGCCATTGCTACCGCGCGTGCATGCCAAGCTGTCCCCGCGTCGCTGCGACTCGCGTGTGGCGGCCCGGAACGAGGAGTAGATCGCGCTCAGCTAGCGAACGCGCTCTCGCGGTCCGCTGTCAACATTCACGGGGGCGCGTGGCTGCGCTACGCCAGCTTACGCAGCCTACATTGACGCGGCGCTATTTGATGCAACGCTTGGTTTACCCCTCCCACCCTAGGCCCCCAACAAATCCCCACTTTCCCTTGCATTCCCTTTCCCTTTCCGTCCCTTTCATTCCCTTGTTTTTCCTTGCCTCCCCATGCCTTCCCTCGTTCGGCCTTCCGCCCATTTCACGCGCGTCGTGAGCAGGCTGATGGACGTGACGTGCATGGGCGTCGCAGCGGGCGCGTACATCCTCACGCTGCTCGCAGTACGCTCGCCTCGCCTCACCTCCCATCGCCCCCTCTCCTCCGCTGCTCTCCATCCCCCCTCCGTTTCCTCTTCACCGTTGTTAATAGGACTCACCCTGCGTCTGCTCCTATTTGTCCGTCTCCATCTCTCGCCCTCCCCAATTCCCGACTTTTTTTCTCCCTCTCCCCTTCTCCTCCTCTCCCCTTCTAACCTTCTTCCCTTCTCCCCATCTCCCCCTCTCCCCCGCGCGCCAGCTGCGCCATCCGTGTCTCGTGCGCTCGCTCATCCTCATCTCGCCGCTCTGCCGCCCCCCTTCCTGGGCCGAGTGGGGCGCGTCCAAGGTACGCCGCCCACGCTCTGCCGCCCCTGCGCAGCTGCTCACGTGCTTGCATCGAACGGTGCTCGCCTCACGCACGCTCACTCTCCCACGCGCTCCTTCTGAGGAACTCTTTCGACGCAAAACACGTGTTCCTCCCTCTCCCGTCCCCCACTCCCCCCACCCGTCGCGCACACCCCGTGCGTTGCAGGTGCTGGTGTCGTCCCTGTCCCTCGTCGGCGCTGCTTCCGCCATTGCCTCCGCGGCACTCATGCAGCGATACGTCCCCCTCGCCGTACGTCCCCTAATCGCGTTCCCTTCCCGCAATACGCGCCCCTTGCTGTGCGCGCCCCCGGCGCCCCCCTTGCTGTGCGTCGCCGTTTCTGTGTTGCTCGGGAGTGATCGCTGTTCAAGTCCGCAGTGCACGCCAGGCGACAGCGCTGCCGTGACCGTTGACAGCTCAGCATGCACGCGGTGCTCCACGTGCCGCTAACTCCGCCTCTCCTGCCACTCACGCACCCTTCTCCTTCCGCTCCATCCGCCCATCCACCCTCTCCGCCCTCTTCTCCTGTGCATGCCAAACGTCTCACCCCATCCCCACCAGCAGCGCGCCAAGCCCAGTCAGCGGCCGACCACCCCACAGCTCGCAGCCATTCAAGAGGTACCCTGCGAGAGGCACCCTGCCATGCCATGACTGTCGTTGCCTTACGTACCTCACGCGCGCTCACATAGTTCCTTAACTCTGTTCACCGCCGTGTGAGCGCTGCTGGGAAGACACTCATGTGCTTACCCTCTCGTCGTCTCTTGTGCCCGCTCAATGCTGTTTCCCGCGTGCTTGAACGTGTGCTGCGTGCACGTGTGCTATGTGCGTGTGCCACGTGTGTGCCATGTGTGCATGCATGTGTGGCATGTGCATGAATTTCTGCCTTCCATGGGGTCACATGGTTATCATCAGGGCATGCGGGGCATGGCAGCAGACGCCATGGTACAGTACATCAGAATCATGGACCAGTGAGTGCGCGCATGCCATGCATACCATGTACTCGCACACTCTCTCCCCGCTTCCACAGAACACGTCTGCGCCACTCTTCCTTGCAATGTACTCATGCATTGTCTTGCGCACAATGCCATGTATACCATGCACGCACGCACAACCTTCGCTCCCACATGCCACTCTTCCTTGGAATGCACGCATGCGTTGTTTTGCGCTCGCGCATCCCGCTCCCATACACATCACATCTCCTCACACGCCTCTACACTTGCGGACCCTTTTCTCTCAAGCACTTTCTTTCCATCACCTGCTGCGCGCCCCACTGAAACCAACTCTCTTTCCCCGATCCTGCATGACTACTCCCCTCCCTCCCCTCCCCCCGCGGGTTTGATGCGGTGCGAGCAGGCGCAAGGACGTGACGGGGCAGCTAGCGGGGATGCGGTGTCCGTGTCTGGTGGTGGTGGGGGAGCTCTCGCCCTTCCGTGATGACGCCCTGCACCTGCATGCCCACCTGCCCCGCCGCCTCGCTGCCTGGTTCCAGGTACCTGCTCCCACTGCCACGCCTTGCCATGCCATGTTGTGCCATGCTGTGACCATGCCATACCCATGCAATCCATGCCCGTCAACTCCCTCCACGCCACAATAAACCTCCTGCTGTCTCTCCACCCATCGTTCATCCCTTCATCATCCCGCCTCATGTTTTCCTCCTCTCCTGCTCCGCTCCCATCCCCTCGCACGCCAGGTGCCAGCGAGTGGGACAGTGGCAACACGGGACTGTCCGCACAGACTGCTCGACCCCCTCCACAAGTTCCTCTCCTCCTGCGGCTATGGCCTCTCCTGCCCCTCCTGCTCGCCCCCTCCCCCTTGCCCACCACCCCCTGACACCACTGCACCCACGTTCCTCCACGCCTCCTCCTCGCTCTCCTCCCCTTGCTCCTCCGTCTCCTCCCTCTCCTCATCTTCCTCGTCCTCCTCCTGCTGCGCCTGCCTCTGCTCTCTATCCTCCTCGCCCCGCACTCCCCTCACCCCCACGTTTCGGCCAGAGGACCTATCGCTAGCAGCGCACGGCAGCAAGTTAAAGCCCATCCGAACCCGGTGGGAAGGCAGAGGGGGTGTGAGCAGCATGGGTGGGGGGGGTGCGGTGCTGCAAGTGTGCAATGGAGGAGGAAGGGTGTGCTTGGGAGGAACGAGGCCGCAACTGGCGTGGTGCTGATGGGAGCAGGGAGCAAGGAGGATAGGAGGCAGTTGAGCTAAGAGAAGACTTGAGTCTGAACACGTTGTTGCTGGGAAAAGGAGCGGAGTGGTCTGTTGTGACAGTTGGGGAGGCTGGGGAATAAGCAGCGACGTATACGCTGCAGGCCAGAGCAGCATGCGCAGCAGTCGCACTCCCATGCGCTCTCTCACACACCCACACACACGCGCACACGTGCACGCGCACACACACGTGGTGCTATTCTTCCACAGCTTTGTGCTGTTCTCTCCTATGGTCCTGAACACACACATGGATGCGCGCAATAAGGCGAGCGCAATGCCATTTATCGACAATAGCTAATTTGAGAGTGTGTTGCCTTAGAGTTGCCTAACCTTGCTCTCTTCAATGATGCTCTGCTTGTGGGTAGGGTAGCTGTATCCGTTACAAATGTAGTCTGCTCTTACAGGAATCATTGCAAACTTCCAGGCTTGCAAATAAACACACAAGCTCACAAGCTGAAACCTACCTACTACCTGTGCCAACTGAGCTGTGAGAGTGTGACCTGGAACAGGGACATGCAAATGAGCCCCTGCGCCACAATTATCTGGTGCTGGTGCTTATTACGGTATGAGGCAACGGGTCCATCAGCCTTGTTCCAATTGCACTACCCTCGTTTTACCGTATTCTGGTCCTGTACTGAACCACCAGAGGGCACTGTTGGCATTTACCTATAACAGCATAAGAATCAACTACATCATAAGGCTCAGGGCACAAACACACAGAGAGGCGGCTTCAGAGGCACGTGGCATGCAGCACTAGCGCAGCCTGCTGAGTGCGGTGGCAGCAGCAGTGCGCCTGACAGCCTGGGCATCAAGCAGCGAGCATGCAGTCCCTGGCACCAGTGCACTTGCTGCTGCCACCGCCACCACCACCCGCCCCTCCACCTCCACTGCTGCTTGCACCACCTCCACCCTCCCCACCGCCGCTGCTGCTGCTGCTGCTCCTGCTGCCTGCTCCCTGCTCGTCCCTCACCCTACTCATGGGACCCTGTGCCTGCCCCTTCTCTCCTGATTCTGCTGCTGCTGTTGATGCCGATGGTTCTGCTGATGATGCCGATGGTGACTGACAGGATTGAGGTACAAATGGTCGTGCGAATGGCGATATTGATGCTGCTGATGCTGCTGATGCTGCTGATGCTGCTGATGCTGCTGATGCTGCTGATGCTGCTGATGCTGCTGATGCTGCTGATGCTGCTGATGCTGACCCTGGCAGTGGCTCAGGTCTTGCTGATCGCAACAGTGGTAGGAATACTGGTGCTGATGCTGATAGCGATGATGGCCGTGCTGCTGTTGACCCACACAGCTGTGCTGCACATGCTGCTGCTTCTGACGCTGTTGCTGCTGCTGGTGGTGATGCTGCAGCAGTCGACACCAACCCATGGTCGGGCACCCCACGGTCGGGCACCCCACGGTCGGGCATGTGCATGTGAGGTGGCAGGCTTGTTGCAGGGACGTGATGTGTGGTCATCTTGATCTGGTGCATGGAACATCAAGGGCCATGGCACGGCAAGGGGAGGGCATGGCACAGCAAGGACAGTAAGCGAGAGTGCTGAGGAGATGGAAGCAAGAGCGCACACTCACAGCAGTAACCTCCAGCCTGGGATCGCCCCAAGAAGAAAGGCAGACCAATCAAGCACCATCATGGCACAAGGCAGCACCCACCCACACCCACACACACCCGCACACACAGCACACTCACACGCGTGCGCCCGCCTGTCCCCTCCTGTATCGATTAGTCAGTTTCCCATAGTTCTGTGCCGATCGAACCTTTTTCTCATGCCAGTCTACCCTGTTTCCTCCCTTCTACCTGTTAGCTGCTCTCCCACCCCCCCCACCCCCCTCCAACGGCGCACCTGCAGCGACCACTTGTTGCGCGTGCACAGGTGCTGCAGCTCTGTCACGGGGTGGGGCGGGCAGGGGCACGGGGGGAACAGGGGGAGCAGGTGCGGGGCGAACACCTGCACCAGGCGCACACGGAGGGGCAGGGGGAGAGGGGTGGGGGAACGAAGGAGAAATGTAAGTATGGGGTACACAAGGCGATATCATCTCTCTCCCCTGCCCCCTCCCCAACTTCCCCTGCCCCCTCCCCAACTTCCCCTCCCCCACTTCCTCCTTCCGTTCTCCCTCCTCCTCGCAGCCCAGCAATGAAAACGGGGTACATACTATGGCACAATTCACGATGCATCGATGTGTGCATGCACCCATGCACCCATGCCACCCATGCACACACGCACCCATGCACCCACGCAGCAGCGCACCTGCCAGACAGCAGCAGGGAGCGAGTGGGCGTCCAGGAATACAGCGCCGGCCAGCGCTTGCACCATCTCAGACAGCGCGCGAGGGGCGCTCACCACCCACTGCACCTCCCCGCCCTTCCCTCCTTCTGCTCCCTCCTCTCCCTCCCCTCCCATCGCTCCCTCCACCCGAGCTCGCCCTTGCGCTCCTCCTCCCCCCTCCCCACCTTTTCCCCCACCGCCTCCTTCCCCAGCCCCGCCACCCTGTCCCCCGGTTGGGAGCGGTTGCCGCGTCCCACCCCGTTTTTCAGTTGCCAAGCCCGCGCCTTCCATGGGGGGTTGTTCAGTGAGGGAGGAGCAGAAGGCGGCGATGTGGTGGGCGGGGAGCGGGCAGGCGGTGCGCATGTGGCGGTGCAGACCCGATGTGATGGCCAGTGCTGCGAGGGATTCGTGTGATAGCACGTGCTGTGGTGGTGTTGTGCCGTGCCGTGCCATGTCATGCCATGTCATTTTTCACATGATTGCACGCACGCCATTCCAATCCACACATACGGATGTTCATGGAGGGAGAAAAGGGAAGGCGTGAGAGGAGAGAGAACAGGAAGGAGAGGGGTGGAGACAAGGTTGTGGGAAAGGGGGCAGAGGAAGAGAAGCCACGGCTCGTGTATACCATCCCTGCTACCCCACCACACCCACCTCCCAAAGCCCACCCAACCCCAATCCCCACCTCACCCCACCCCACCCTACCCCACCCTGCCCCATCGTACCCCACCCCGTCCCACAGCATCACCTGTTTCAAGGCGCTGACGTGGTGCAGCCTGTTCCCTCCCTGCTGCCCCAGCCCTTCATGCGCGTCCTCGCCCACGAGGGCATGCAGCACGAGGCAGTACTCCAGCACGGCGTTACCCACACAGTACAGCCGCTCAAACGTCCATGCACTGCCCTCCCCTCTCAACCCCTCCCCCTTCAACCCCTCCTCACGGAACCCCTCCTCGCACTCATCAACGCGCAGACCATTCCCATCGCTTTTCCCCTCCTCCTCTCGTGCTCCCCCGCTGTTCCCCACATCTGCGCCCCTCTCTGCCTCGTCACCCTTCTCCGCTTCTGTCTGCTGCTGCTCGCCTTGCCGCTCCCACCGCTTGCGCCGCTGCCACGTGTACCGAGTCTGCTGCCACACGTTGTTGCTGCTGTTGTTGCTGCTGCTGTTGTTGCTGTTGAAGCAGGGAGGGGTGAGTGAGCGCCACGAGCAGCAGGTCCTTGCATGCAAACACATGCCCCAGCGCCCTCTCCGCGCCCCTGCACCACGCGTCCTCCTCGCCCCCCCATCCACCCTCAGCCATGCTGCCCTCGCCCTCCTCCCTGCCCTCCAACTCTCTCGTTTCCCCTCGTGCGCGCCCCCCTGTGCTCTCTTCACCAGCCCCCCCTTCCAGTCGTGCCCCTCCTCTTTCGCCCGTCCCCTTCTCTTCTCCACCTTCACACCTGTCCCACGACAACCTGCCACTACCAGTGCGCTCCTCTGTGCACCCACCCACCCTTTCAGGCAGTTCAAGGAACGACTGGTGTGTGTGCGGATGCGAGCACACACACTTACACACCGCCCTCCCCTCCTCACTGCTCCCTGCACCCTGTGCACCCTCCCTTATCCCCTCTCCTCCCACCTCCTCCCCATGTCCACCTTCCTCCTGGTTCTCCTCGCGTTCCTGCTCGCCTCTACCCATACCCATACCCATGCGGCCTTGGGTGCATGCACACGGCACGGCACACGCACCATGGCACGGGACAACGCCCATCCCACACAGCACGTGCGCGGCTGCTGCCTCTCCCCCCCACCCGCTAGCACTGCCCCTACCACAGACTCCACACTGTCAGCACACACCCCCTCACTCACTCGCACCGACGCACTCACTGCCCTCCATTCCCCTCCTCCTCCTCCTCCTCCTCCTCCTCCTCCTCCTCCTCCTCCTCCTCCTCCTCCTCCTCCTCCTCCTCCTCCTCCTCCTCCTCCTCCTCCTCCTCCTCCTCCTCCTCCTCCTCCTCCTCCTCCTCCTCCTCCTCCTCCTCCTCCTCCTCCTCCTCTCCTCCTCCTCCTCCTCCTCCTCCTCCTCCTCCTCCTCCTCCTCCTCCTCCTCCTCCTCCTCCTCCTCCTCCTCCTCCTCCTCCTCCTCCTCCTCCTCCGCCACCTTTCCCCATCGCCTGTTCCCCACTCAACCGCGCTCCCTCATCCCCCTCACCCTTGCCACAGTGCTGCTTAGTTGCACTTCCTTTAATTCCCCTCGCCACCACACAAACCGTTGCCTCTCCATCCGAGCTTTCCTCCCCCTTCGCACTACACCTGCACCCCTGCCTGCCCTCCCTGCTTTCACTCCCCCCACTGCCCTCCCTGCCCTCCCTGCTGCCATCTCCAACCGCGCCATATCCCTTTCCACTCCACTGTCCCTGCACGCGTGCCAGCAGCGGCCCTTCATGCTCGCAGCAGCAGCCATGCCCGCGCACCCGCAAGAGCTCTGCCTCAGATGCCACGCTGTCAGCCAATGCCGGCACGCCACCTGTCGCTGCCCGCGTGTGAGATTGCCCCATCCCAGCGCCACTTGCCAGGTCAGCACACTCTCCTCTGCCCTCCTTGCCCCTATCACTCTCTCTCCCTTCTCCCCCCTCTCTCTGCTCTTTCCTCCCCTCGTTCTCTCCCCACCCTCCTCCCCACTGTTTGCAGCACCATATGCCTCCTCCCCCTCCCTCTTCCCCTCCCCTTCCCTTCCCCCCTCCCCCTGTCCCCTGCGGCAGGGGTAGGGGGAGGAGAGAAGGGGAGAAGGGGAGGAGGCGGAGGAAGGGGGGGAGGCCGCAGGCACGGGCGCATGCAGCAAGGCAGCGGTTGGGGACCAGTTGCTGCTCGGGGGAAGAAAGGGAGGGGAGAGGGCCAACAGCGGTCAGGAGAGCGGAATGGTTGAGAGGGGAACTAGTAAGGGCACGGAGACGGTTGGAATGGAGGAAAGAGAAGAGAAGTACGTGCGAGTCACCCACGGAAGAAGTTGGGAGCGGAGAGTACATCAAGGGGCAACAAGAAGATGAGAGCTTGGTGGCAACGCGATGTAATGTAACATGATGTGACTGGTACGGAGCAACGTTCACGCACATGCGGCCACCCACCCAGAAGCCCGTCCCACCCACCTGCATCATGTTGCCGGCGGCGTCGATGCCAGCAGAGGGGTGCAGCAGCAGCACGCAGAGCGCTGCCGCGAGCTTGAGAAACGCGTCTCCCAGCAGCTCCAGCAGCGGCCGCGTGATGGGCATGCGCGCAGGGGAGAGAGCGGTGGGAGGATGGGTGGAGGGAGGGGCTGGAAGATGGGCGGAGGGATGGGCGGAGGAAGGGGTGGAGAGAGTGGAGGGAGGTGCAGGGAGGAGGACGAGGGAAGTGGGGGTGGTGGCTGATGGTGAGCCGGTGTGTTGGAGTATGGGCAGTGGGGGGGAAGTGGGTGGAGGAGGCCAGGGGGGGTTGATGGTGCGGATATCACCGATGCATGCTGATGGGGCTGTGATGGCCTGCACGCATGCCAGCACGGTGCAATGCAGTAGGCAAGAGGGCACGAGAGGTGGAGGGCGGGAGGGAGAAGGGGGAAGGGCGGGAGGGCGGGTGGGCAGGAGAGCAGGGGGGCAGGGGGCAGGAAAATACGGCACTTGAAGGCGAGTAAATGTGCATAGCATACCACTTGGAAAGGATATTCACCAGTACCCCGTGTGAATATGACTGGCCCCTCACTACTCGAGCCAAACACGGCATTCAAATAGACTCTTAGCGGCATTACCGCGCCCCCTATTCCGCACTCTGGCTTCCATTCACTCTCATTGACTCATCGTTCCCCCGTCCCGCACTCACCGTCCGCAGCAGAGGCAGGTGCAGCGAGGGCAGGTGCAGGGAGCAGGTGAGCTCCCAGGCGCACAGCAGGTCCGCGAGGTGGCAGAGCGTGACAGGCAGCACCGCTGCTGCCCTCACCCTCGCTGCACTCACGGGAAAGCTGCTGCTGCTACCACTGGCCATGGGTTAGGTGGAGGGGCAGGCGCTGGCGTAGGGCTGCTACATGTGGTGGTGGCAATGGTGGGGTGGTGAGTGTGCGAGAGGAGCAGTGAGCAGAGCTCGGAAGGGACCACGATGCGGCGACAGAGGGATGGCTTGGTGGAGGAGGATGGGGCGGGCGGTGATGCCATGAGCCGCGTGATGGTACACGCCTGGTGGGCGGGACGCAAGGGAGGGGGAGGGGAGAGGTGGGACGCAGGGGGCAGAGCAGTGGAGATAAAGAGGTGGAGCGGAGGGGAGGGAAGGAAAAGAGCAGAAGATGTGAACACAACTTAGAATGGTATGCGTACCAGAGGTACAGTCACTGACAGCAGCGTGTTCCCTTCGTCCTGTCCACTCGCAACCCTCACACCCCGCACAGCATTCGCACCCTGCACACCCCGCATACACCACACACCCGTGGCAGCACTTGCCTTGGGCGCGGGCACGAGTTCCAGCAGGGGCTGCTGAGGGCGGTGCAGCAGCACGCCATGCAGCTGACAGTAGTCCCCGTCATACCACGTGCTCTGCCCCTTCCGAACGCCCCTCCTGCCCTGCCACGCCGCACTCGCTGCCTCGCCCTTCACATCCTGCTGCTGCTGCTGCTGCTGCTGCTGCTTCAGAGGCGACTGCTCGTGCTGCTCGCCTTCCCCAACACGCTTGTCATCATCGGTTGAAGCTGGTGCTATGGAGTGTGAGGGAGAGGGCGCCTCGGGGTGGGGCGTGAGAGTGTGGACGAGGAAGAGGGAGGGAGGGAGCGGGTGCAAGTGCGGGAGGGCGAGGGCAACAGCACCGTGCATCACCTGCTGTGCGCTGAAGCACCCATTCGCCAACATCACTGCGCCCTGCTCCTCGCCCTCTCCTCCCTCCTCCCCTCCTCCTCGTTCCTCACCTCCTCTTTCCCCCCCAAAACTTCTCTCCGCCACTCCCCTTTCCTCCGCCCCTCCCCTCTCCTGCGCCCCATCAAGGACCCCCGTCTCCCCCTCCCCTGTGCAGCCCACCAAGCATCTGCCATTGTACGCTGCCTCATGCAAGCACGCCCCCCTTTCACTCACACACCCGGGCAGCTGAACGGGCAACTGAGAGGAATGGTTGAGTGGCAGCACTAGGAATCCAGGCACCCATTTCATCCCATGCTGCTCTGCCCGCCCCTCCTCCTTCCCCTGCGGCCATTCACTCGACTCACCGCCCACTTCTTTCCCCCAGGGTTGCTTTTCACAGCACCTACAGTCCCCTCGTGCCGCGTACGCTCCACCTTTCGCCTCATCGCCCCTTTCCTCCCTCCCGCTCTCCCCTCCCCTTTCGCTTCCTCCATTCCCCTCTTCGCTCCTCCCGCTCGTTTCCCCCTCCCCCTCTCCGCTAACGGTGCTGGGGGCAGCGCGCGGAGGGGCGGGGGGGTGGAGGAAGTGCGCCTGGAATCGGAGGGCGCGCGAGATGCACACGCAGCAGAGGGCGACAGCACCAGCGGGGAGTAGACGCGGGGAGAGGCAGAGGCTCCGCGTGTGGGGGAGAGGGATGGCGGCGGGAAGAGGTGACGTCAGCAAGGAGGGCGGGAGGGGATGCGCGGAGAGGAGGAGGCAGGGGGCGATGGCGGGAGGGAATTGCGCAGAAGGGGAGGTTGGGAAGAAGCAAACGCACGTCTCATCCTCCTTCTGACGCGCCGCCGAGGTTTCCGCGCCGTTCCTGTCCGCCCATTCCCACGTTACCGCGTGCGCATGGTACGAGTGTCGGCATGGCATACAGGGCGGGAGCGATTGTGCCTGAGGGAGGGTCGTCCCAACGAAGCGGAGACAAGGCGGCAAGGACTCTTGGGGCGAGCGCGCATGTGCGGAGCTGCCGTGTTCCGTGCGACGCGGGGACAAAGCGTACGGCCATCGCTGCGGCGTGAATCGCTCTAACGGAGGTGGACGACGGGAAGTGCGACCCATGGCGGCGACGCGAAGAATGCTTCAGGTGGTGGAGATTTTGGTGGCGGAATTTTACAAGCTTGCCTCGATTGGAACCGACGCGTGATATTGTACGCGTAGAAAATAGGAAAATCGTAATCGGAACACTCAAAAGGTTTCCTGCGTAAATACTGATGGTTGGACAGAGCTTGCCCTCACATAGGAACACCCAGTAGGATACAAGCACATCTTGTTTTGACGCGAGGATAATCATATAGATCCTTGTAGCCATGTACTTTCTACCAAGATAGAAAAATATGAGACAACTAATTCCTGGAATAAGTCTGAACGAACTGACATGGCCTGCCTTTGTCATCTAAACAAGCTTGCAAGTTGTAGAGTATGGTGGTGTGTCCAATTACAATTATGGTAACCTTATCAGAAGGGTCGCAAACTGCATATGTTTGCACCCCAAGTTAGTCGAAATACCTAGAGCGAACTAAGAATCGGAAAGGATCAGGTATCCAGAACCAGTATAGTTGTCATATACCCCAGCAGTACCACTACTCAGTGCATGTACGGTAATTGCCAACCACGCTCATCATCACACCTCCACTCCACGTGCACTCACGGCTGGTGAAGAATGAGAGCGAGAGCATGGCGTGGCGTGTGGCACACGTGCTGAATCTGCTGCACTCACCCCAACTGCACCTGTCGCTGACAAGGTTGACTGTGCAGGGGTGCTGGGAGGAGCTGTGCCCTGGCACTCAGGCACGTGGGCTCTGGATGATGCTGGAATCATGTCACGTGCTTCAGCAGCGGGCAGTGCAGCAACAGTGTCAAGGTCAGGATCCATATATGCGGCTACCCGGTGATGGAAGGAATCGACCTGCCATGGGGAAGAAGGTAAGAGTACATGTGCAGCGTGAGGCAGTAAGAATGTAGTGTGCAGGCATGAGAGTTCTTCACATCCGCACTACCAAATTGGGGGCATGAGACTCGGGCAGATGGATTGAGAGGAAGCGAAGCACGTCACCTGTAAGTTGAGCTCATTAAAGAGCTCGGCCACATGCGCCAGCCTCTGCCTGTGCAGCTCCTGACACCGCTCATCCTCTCCCCGCACTTGCTCCAGCTGCAAGCACCACAACAGCACAGCCACGCCAGTTGGAGATGGCAGTATGGAGGGATAGACGTACAGCATGCAGGGCCGACAGAGAACAGGCATCGGATGCACCATGCATGGAAGGTTGGTGCCATGTCACATCAAGTGATGGGCGTGGGAAGGATGAGGGTGAGAGCATGAGACCCACCTGACCCTGCACCTCTGACTTGGCAGCGAGGAAGAGCTCTTCCTCCTCTGCCAGTCCTTGCTCCAGCACACGCACGTCCTCCTGCTTCCTGCGCACCTCCACCATCTGCTGCTCTATGGCTGCCCTGCGTGCTGCCACTTTCGCCTTCCACTCCGCCTCTGCTCACAGCGCGCACAACAGTACACATCAACCACACTCAAGCAGTGGCGGTGGAGAAACAGCACTGCAACCACCACACACGTTCGCAAAGCCATGCCAAATCCACGCCATGCATGCCATCCCAGCACAGCCTCTCACCCTTTACCGCACTTGGTCTCACCTTTGGCCTTCTCCTTGCTGACCCTCTCCTCCGCTGCTGCCTGCAGCTGCCGCGCTGCTGCTCCTTGCGCCTGCCGTGCAGCCACCTGCCGCTTCAATTCGCGCGCTGCTGCTGCCTGCATGGCCACGAGCACACGCAGCGACAGGAGGTGAGATGGGCCAGGTGCACGATCAGGTAGCAATGAGGCGCACGGCAGAACATGGTATGGCAGTTCAGAGCGTGCATCAGAACAGGAACGATCACGAAAGAGCATGGATCTGGTGGGAGCTGGGTGAAGCGCTGACCTCTTGATCCGCTTGCTTGACTTGCTGCAGGCGGCTCTGAAGCTCCGCCAGGGCCTGCACGGGTATGCACGCCAAGGAACATGTGCGTGTGCACATGCGCGTGCGTGTGCGTGTGCGTGTGGTGGGTGCATGTGCGTGTGTGTGTGTGTGTGTGTGTGTGTGTGTGTGTGTGTGCGGGTGGGTGCATGTGTGTGTGTGGGGGTGGGGGGAGGGGGGAGGGGGTGTGGTGGGGTGGGGGGCCACGTGCGTGCGCGCGTGTGAGTGAGAGAGTGACCAAGAGAGAGAACGAAAGGGTGAGAGAGGAGGGGAAAGGAGAAGAGAGAGAACAGGGGAGGGGAGAAGGTGCAAGATGGAGGATAATGAAGAGAACAGGAAGGCAGACATGGGCATGGGCATGAGGGCATGGGCATGGGCATGTTCATGGCCGCGTGGGAATGGGCATGGACGAGCGGGAGGATGTCCTAAGTGTGCTCACCTTTCTAACGACAACCAGCTTCTTGCGATTCTCCCGCATCTGCACCAGCACCGCATCCCGCGCCTCTTTCTCACTCTCCATCGCTTCCTCTGCTCGTGTCACTGCTAACTGCACATTCACACGTACACACGTGCGTGCACACACAACCAGACAAAAGCGGGCAGAGCAAGAACTGAAACCTATGAAATTAGGCTGCTGTGGGCGTGAGCAGGAAGGCGCAGCACGTGAGCAGGAAGGCGCAGCACGTGAGCAGGAAGGCGCAGCACGTGAGCAGGAAGGCGCAGCACGTGAGCAGGGGCCGCAGTACGTGCAGAGAAGGACTCACTCTGACTTTATCCGGCGACTCCACTATCTGTGCCCGCAAACTCATCTCCTCCTCCTTCACCTTTGCCGCCTGCTGCTTCTCCGCCGCTATCTGCACACACACAACACCACATCGCACCGCACCGCACCACAGCATGCGACACAGCCATCACAAGTGAGCGCGCGCTTAGCACCCCCCTTCCAAGAAGCACGCAGGAAAGGAGTTTCACAGAGACGCAGGGCTGTAGAGACACGAGAGACACAGGTACAGCTCACAACGGCCACAGCCAGCCCTACACCAAACCCTGCTTGCCTCATCCATGAGTTTCATCATGGCCTCCCTCCGCCCCGCCAGCTGCTCTTGCTCCGCCTCCTCTTCCCCCTGCGCCCGCTGCAGCTCCTTCTCCATCACCGCCACCTCCTCCGCCACCTCCGCCACCTCCGCATCCTCGTCGCGCTGCCGCTCCTCCAGAGATTGCAGCTCGCTGGACAGCTGCGGGGCGGGCAGGGAGGGCGCAGGCAGCACGGCATGGCGCGACGGTGACACAGGGTTGGGGGTACACAGGGCACTAGCACAACGCACGGAGCACGCGGAAAAGCGCTGGAGGAGGATGAGAACGCGGGCGTGGTGTAGCCTGGGATGAGCTGGTGGACGGCCAAGGAAACGCAACCATTCAATGTATAGATACCGAAGGGAAGGGAAAGGGTCGTGTGATGTCATACCGATAGCTCTTCGTCTTCGAGCTTGGCGTGCGTCTCAACGACCTGCGCGTATTCCTCCAGGCATTGCGCCTCCACGGAAAAGAACTGGTCCCTGCAACGAAAGCCATGCAACCACCGCACGCACACTTATTGCGGACACAGAGACACTGGCTTTCGACCGTCTGACGACGCAAGCGCTCAGACATACATACTGCACCTACTTAGAAGATACGCATGATGGTGAACAGACGGGGGGGCCGCCGGTACGCCACTACGCATAGGGTTTCAGATGCCGTGCATGCGCACGCACCCGAAGCGCTTGTAGTTGGCGAGCGCGGAGAGCAGCTTCTGTGTGCGTTCGGGATCTGGCCGGATGAGGTCGCGCATCGCGAACCACTCGACGCCGGTCGCCGCAAAGAGCTCTCGGAGCGACTGGAAGAGAAGGAGAGTACTGGCGGCATCCACGTGCAACTCGGGGAAGTCCAGGTTCCGCTCCGCTTCCTCCTCATTCATGCACGCGCCGTCGCCAGGGAGGACGGCTCTAGAGGGGAACATGGAGCAGATATGAGGCGGGATGGAGGAGAGGTGCCGGGGCAATGAGGATGAGACGAAAGACATGGAAAGAAAAAGATAAAACGCGTCAGTGTACTTGCTATGCTGATGGCTAAATAGATGTTACTTCATGGGCTGCTTGCGCTTTATTGCTACCACCTACCGGCCCACTAGTACGCGAATTGCCGCGTCGTAGAAGAGGCGCATGACTTCTGGTGTGGGCTTGGCGATGTCACGCTCCGTCAGCTTGTAGATCGGATCCAGACATTGCTGTAGCTGCTTCGCGTCCAGCAAAGGCGACGAAAACTGTACCATGGCTGCGTGATTGTAAGAAACCTGGAGAGTTCTCTAGTAAGTCACTGGTTCGTGAAATCCTGTTTAAGCGTCGATTAAGTCTTGCCAAACGTCCTTGTCGACAAGTTGTGTGCAAGTATACCAAGCGATGTCGCGTCCAAGTAACGAACCTTCAACTTTACCGAAATAAGCTACGCAATGAGTGAAGCCGCTAGGGTTCTCGATTTCTCAAAAAGTCCAAGCCATTCAAGCTGGAGTTTCCGAGGTGCTCGTCGTCAATGGATGATCTGGGTGGCAGTGATGTGGTCCCAGGTGTAGCAGGTGCGAGTGGCTTCACGCATACGCTTGATGGGCTCCAGCTCGGCTGGTGGTGGCAGAAATGACAGTGCAGGGGTTCGGCGGGAAATTTCAAGGTTTGGCGCCAGATTTGTATTTGACTTCTGACCAGTCGCGAGTTGCTGGGGCCTCTGACAGGTGGGATGTCATCGGGTCATCAGGCTGGGACAATAACGAACGAGGATAAAGGATGATACACCTTTCTGAAACTATTTAAGGATACAGACATTCCTCAGCCACCCCACTTTTAGACGCATAAATGGGATCTGGAACAACTGACATAACATTTTCTACCATCCTTCGTAACTTGGATAACTAAATACTTATTATTATGCTACTGTTTCCATAGTTGCAATTGATCTTCAAGTTGAGTGCAGTGTAAGAAACTTCTAGGGTAAGTGAACCAAAACCAGATAAGGTACGTCTTTCTTCAACAAAGCAGACGGGGCAGCACATTACGGTATTAGGTATTAGGTTTTTACATTCACGCTAAAGTGGCTTTCAGAGTTGCCAGATCTTGCCGCATCTGCTCTTCCAACATGGCTGCTTGTTCCTGCAAGATCGTCACAGAAAAAAAAGGGTGTTTCAGAACCACTTGCTACTGAGAAGAAGAAAAAAGGCACGGATATAAGGCAATGGTGCAGTTAGGATGGAAGGAAATCGACAGGTAGAACGTTGTCAAACAATGGAGAAAGTCCGTACCTCTAGACGGCAAAGCCGCCACTCCATCTGTTGTTGCAGCATGTCACGCACGGTGGATCCTTGATGCGGAGAAGGCCGTATGTGCACGCGGACGATCGTAAATGTTCCGAACCGAATTTCATCTCCATCAGACAGAGGATGCTCACGACCTGCAGCAGGAATAGCGTGGAACGAGAGGGAAACCAGACGTGCAGCGTAGCGGAAAATGGAGATTCCATATTACAGGCACAACCCATTGAATCCGTAATCGCAAATTAGCTGCGTATAGGGCCAAGTACTAGCACCTTCTGGCAGATGGACGCCGTTAAGTGAAGTTCCGTTTGAGCTTCCTAGATCGACGACGCGCCAACTCCTATCAGCTGCGTCCCACGAAACACACGCGTGTTTCTCAGAAACCTGGAAGGGAGAAACAAGTTGCCGAGCGATAACTATATTAGAAACGTTCACTTGGTCTGAACATTGCTGAGGCGGCTGGTCTTGCACAGGCAACGCTTACGGAGTCTTCCTTCAGCGGAATCTGGCAGGTCTTCACTCGTCCCACTCTAGAACTGCTAGCAGTTACAGCAATGGTGGCCGGGCAGCAAGGGCCTCCCACCACTTCCAGCACCAAGAGGTCACGGCCACCATCACTCGCTAGCTCAGGTTGACAAGCATCCGCAGCTGAACCTCGATTCGCCTGCGCAGCCTTGCCTCTGCCTCCTGCCATGCTAACTTCGCAAGGATATATGAAACTACTCGACGCGGTATGGCTTCAGCAAATTCCACACAAGAGGAGTTTGTTTGGAACTGAGCGAGAGCTGTGGCCGAAACTGGGAGCCGTACGTGAGGAGCTGATGGGTCTTGGCAATGACAGTTTGGTTGGAGGGAAGCATGGCGAAGCGAGAAAAGCTTGAAGCGGAGATGGTTGCGATAAGTGCAATGGTGTACAATGGGTGCACTAGATCAGAATGTGGCGACACCTATACAAAGAGAATATACGGTAAGGTAGTGAAGGTTGGTTGGGGCGGGATAAGGGATTGGCCTACAAAACAGGACGGCACCAAAATTGTTCACCTGAGTTGCGAAATAAGTATATTTCGCTGAAATTACCAAATGTGGGATGCAATGCAACTCAGGAAATTATTATCACAACAATTCGTGGGCCAAAGATGGAATTGTTGTGAGATTGCGCTATGGTGATGCCCTTGGCTTGGGAATGCTGATTAAACCATGCGGTTATCCCAACAATTACTTCGAGATTTCGAGCTTGTGAAGCAGTTGAGCTATCAACTTTTGTGACACACACCCAACCGAAAGTAGGTAGGAGGCAATTTGGGCAAAGTTGAGACATCGGTTTTAACAAAAATTATGTTAAGCAATTACAATACAATTGAAAAACAAGAGGCGACGAAATCGTCTTAGGGTTGCGTCTCAAAGTCTACATGCAACGGAATGATTGGAATTAGGGTTTGCAAGCATACAAATAGGAGTCCTACAAATGTTGTACCCTTTAGGGAGTGCCTCACTGCAGCCTATCATAACATTAACATTTGACACACCCCCATAGGCTAAGTGAGGGACACCAGGGCAAGCAAGGTGAAAACAAACGGTCACAAGACCAGTCAAGGCAAGACAAGCTCAGGGTGGAGCTCAAGGACACCACACAAATTCCGAGCACAAGCAAGCGGCCACAAGGCCAGTTCAACAGTTCACTAGGATATAAATATGAAAACACAACAAGCAGAGCAAGCAACAAGACTACAGCAACCGGGGGCCTACCTCAACAAGCCCCAACTGCACACAGAACCTGTGGTGATCACCAGGCGCCAAGGCCTTGGTGAAGACGTCTGCAGTGTTGGCCTCTGAGGCCACAAAGTCCAGGCGTGCCTGGCCGCGTCGCTGCAGCTCTCGCAGGAGGAAGTACCTCACGTCAATATGCTTTACTCTGCTCTCCAGTCGCGGCTCTCGACACAGGAGGATCATGGCCTTGTTGTCAGCGTACAAGGTCGGTGCAACAACGAGGCCGCTCACCAAGGTCGGTGAGCAAGAAGGTCAACCAACGAAGCTCCTGTGCCGCCAGGGCACCAAAGTAGATCTCTGCCTCTGCACTGGAAGTAGCCACAGACGACGACCGAGTAGACCTCCACGACACAGCACCAGCTCCCAGACTGAAGCAGTAACCCTGAGTCGAACGCTGAGTCTCCACGTCGTCAGCGTAGGAAGAGTCGCAGTGCCCAGTCAACGCCACTGGCTGAGTCCCTCCAAGCACAAGCCCCATGCCTGATGTAGTCGCCAGGTACTTCGCCACCCTCACAGCAGCTGTCCAGTGGACAGGACGGTGTCTCCCAGTCGCAACAAAGCGAGAGAGGACGCTGAGGGGAAAGGCGAGGTCCGGCCGAGTACAAGTCATCAGGTACATGAGGCAGCCCACCAGCTCTGCGTAGGGACCACTGGACTCAAAAGGCTCGTCGGGAAAGGGGCCAGTGAGTCTGTGGTCAACAGCAAGAGGAGTGGGCTGTGTGGTGGAGAACTGGAAGTCGAACCGCCGAAGGACCTGCTGCACCATGTGTGACTGCGTCAGTGTGATGGTGCGAGCGGCTCTGTCCCGGGTGATCTGCAAGCCAAGGTAACGCTGCAGCTCACCCAGGTCAGTGCACTTGTGTCTCTTCTGCAGTTCGAACTTCACCTGAGCCAGGGCTGCCCTGTCTGCTGTAGCAAACACCAAGTCGTCGACGTAGACAAGGATAAAGAAAGGAGTAGAACCCGCTCGAACAAACAGCGACGGGTCGGCGGAGGACGGGCTGAACCCAAGGTCACGAAGCGTGGAGCGAAGAGTGTCGTGCCACTCACGGGGCGACTGGCGGAGACCGTAGACTGGTCGCCTCAGGCTCCACTGGGTCCCTGGTGGGAAGGTGTCAGTGAAACCAGGAGGACGGCGCAGCCAGATCTCCTCGTGCAGTCGGCCCTGGAGGAACGCAGTGGAGAAGTCGAGGGAGTGCAGCTCGTAGTCTCGCTGCGCTGCTATGTGGAGTAACACCCGAAGAGTAGTCATCTTCGGGGTCGGGGCGAAGGTCTGGAAGAAGTCAACTCCCTCACGCTGACTGAAGCCCCTAGCCACGTAGCGCGCCTTGAACACCGGCGGTGCTCCAGGCGGCCGCTTCACCTTGAAGAGCCACATGCCATCGACTACGTTCGCCCTGGGAGGGGGAACTGCGTCGACGTAGGTGCCTGTGGATCTCCAAGACGCCAACTCTGAGTCCATAGCCGCTTTCCACTGAGAGGCCCACGCCCCTGACACTGCCTCGCGGTAAGTGCGAGGAGTCGGTATGTCAAGGGCGTCGGGGTCTCCCTCAGGGGAGAGCAGCATGGCACACACAGAGGGAGAAGCGGCTGCCCAGTACTCCAGCTCAGACTCTCTGTCCTCTAGGACGTCACAGCCAAGGGCAAACTCACCCCCGACGGACAGAGGACGGTAGGGAGGAGCTGGCACCACACGGGTGGCGTAGTCAAGGCGGCTGGCGGCAGCAAACTCAGCGACAGCGGCAGTGAGAGCAGAGACCGACGACGGAGGGAAACGAGAGTCGGTGACAAGAGTGGCGAGGACACGTGCGGCAACAGGACGAACAGCGCGGTAGTAGTCGGTGATAGGAGTGGGGAGGGAAGGGAGAGAGGACGGAGGAGGAGACGGGAGAACGGACTCAGGAGAAGGAGAACGACGACGAGACGAACAAAGGAGGGCAGTGTGGAGGTCAGTAACAGGGGACGAGTGACGAGCACGCGGCGAACAACGGGTGACCAAGTCGCGACGGACAGAAGGAGGAGGAGACTGTGGAGGAGGAGAAGACCAGACCGCCGGACGGTCGTCAGGAGGAGGCAACGGAGAAACAAACACAGGAGGAGACTGGGAGCGGACAGGAGGAGAGGAGGAAAGGCCAAGGGCCCGCAGGCCACTCACAGGTGGGAACAACTGCCGCTCAAGAGGAAGCTGCGGAGGCGGCTGCTGCTGCTGCTGCTGCTGCTGCTGCTGCTGCTGCCGCTGCTGCTCCAGAAGGTCCAGCACCCGCAGCTCCTGCCGCTCCCTCTCCAGCCGCTCCTGCTCCTCACGCTCACGCCGACGGGCAGCCTGGAGACGCGTGTCGTGGCGGTGGGGAGGCGGAGTGGACTCCGCAGAACCAGGGCCTCCAGCGTCAGTCTCCTCAGACTCAGCTCCCCCAGAACTAGCACCGCCAGCGCCAGCACCTCCAACTCCAGCACCCCCAGAACTAGCACCTCTAGTGCCAGTACCTCCAGCTCCAGCACCCCCAGAGCCAGCGCCACCTGCGCCAGCACCTCCAGCTCCAGCACCCCCAGAGCTAGCGCCGCCTGCGCCAGCACCTCCAGCTCCAGCACCCCCAGAGCTAGCGCCCCCAGACCGAGCACCGCTAGAAGCTGCACCTCCAGCTCCAACACCAACCGAGTCCACAGGAACCTGTCGCGGAAGCGCCGAAGGCTGCTGAGGGGGCTGTGAGGAGGACTGCGGGGAGGGAGACGCTACCTGACGCGCGACCGAGGGTAGAGGGGTAGCGTGAGACACACCAGACGGGGCAGGACCAGGGGGGGGCAGGGGTACCGGAGGAGCGGGAGCAGGAGGAGGAGAGGGTGCGAGGAAAAGAGGGGGAGGGGGTACCGGGAGACCTCGACAAGGGTACCGGGTGTAGTAGGACACGGACTCGTCAAACCGGACGTCACGGGAGTCTAGGAACTGGTGGAGGGGCGGGTGGTAGAAGGACTTGTCGGCCGAGTCTACCGGGAAACCAAGGAAGACACAGGGAATGGCGCGTGCCGAGAGCTTGTCCGCAGAGGTGTCGCGGACCTGCGCAAGGCAGCCCCAGACTCGAAAGGCCGACCCGACACCAGGGGAACCAGTCCAAAGACTGGTCGGTGAAGCCTCGGGCCGCGAGACACGCGGCTGGAGGTTCAGCTGGTGTGCGGCGTAGCGAACCGCGTGGGGCCACAGAAAATGGGGCGCACGGGCATGGATCATGGACGTGCGGGCGATGTCCATGACCAAGCCTATGCGGCGCTCAGCAACCCCATTCTGCTGTGGGGACTCTGGCAGAGTCCAGGACTGGGTGATGCCCTGTTCGCCGCAGAATCCGCCGAGAATGCCGGAGCGAAACTCGCCCCACGGTCGGAGTGGAGACAACTGACTCGACGACCACGAGTGCCCTCAGTGGCTAGAAGCCACCTGATCAGCGTAGCAGTCACCTCGGACTTCTTCGCAAGAGGGAACACTGTGGTGTACCTGGAGAAGTCGTCGACGACCACCAGAAAGTAACGCTCCCTCCCAGACCCCTGCGTCGGGGCAGGGCCCCAGACGTCCAAGTGGAGAGTCTCGAAGGGAGCGGTGGCCGGACGAAGGGAGGAGGAGTGGGGAGTGGCGCGTAAGCGACCGGCGACGCACGGAGAGCAAGGAGGGGCAAGCGAGAGAGGGAGCGACGGGAAGGTGCGTGGGAGACCTGTGACTAGTCCGTGACTGAGCATGCCACGAAGGCGAGGGATCGACGGGTGGCCAAGACGGTGGTGCCACAGAACGGTGCGGTGGGCGAGAGAGCGACAGGAGCAAGACGCAGCGACTGGACTGGACACAGCGACCGGACTGGACACGACTACCTGGCTAGACACAGCCACTGGACTGGGGACCTGGGTCGGAGGGGACGCAACAACCGGAGGGGAGGACGCGACCGGGGAGCGCTCGGTGTGGAGAACGTAGAGACCGGAGCGGGGCTCCCTGGTGAACGTGGCCAGAACAGCACCTGTGGTAGCGTCAGTACAGACTGCAGTCCGCCCACCCCCCAAGAAGGTAACCGTGATCCCCCTGTCCTGAAGGTATCCAACACCCACCAAGTTCCGAGTGAACGAGGGGATGTGGAGGCCACGCAGGACACCAGAGGGGACCACAGGGCACGGGAGGGTGGTGGAGCTACGCGCAACGGCTGGTCCAGAGGTAGGATCAGCCAGAGCCACCGACACAGGTGTGAGGAGAGGCGTAAGGGTCGTGCGGTCGCGGAAGAAACACTGAGACGCGCCCGAGTCCAGCGTGAACGAAAGAGAGGCCTCAGCCGGTGGGTCACTCGACCCAGTCGCTACACAAGCACCTAGAGCAGCAACACAAGCACCTAATCTAGACAGGCACAAGGCTACACTAGCAGGAGGCAAGCAGTCTAACCTACGAACACGCGAGCACACAGATCCATCAGCACTAGAGTCAGCATCAACATACAAAGCATATTGACGCGCATCGTCCATGGACAAAGCAAATACATCAATCTTACGGGCTAACAGACGAGACCAGCGAGGCGTGCTCGCCAAAGGGCCCCAACGAGCCCGGTAGAGGTCGTCGAGGCGGCGGAAGCACCGCGCGGCAGAGTGGTCGTCGCGACCACAGAGACAGGGGCTACCCGGCCCGGTGACGCACCAGTGAGTGCACGGGCCAGCGTCACGGCGAGGGGGGCGAGGGGCCCAGCTGGAAGTACTGCTGCTGCGGCTGGTGCTCCCAGGGCCTCCCGGACCCCACTGCGGCGGGGGACCCCAGTGCTGCTGCGGACCCCACTGCAGCGGGGGCCCCCACTGCTGGAACTGCTGCGGTGCCTGCTGCTGCTGCTGTCCCTGCTGCTGCTGCTGTCCCTGCTGCGGGTGGTGCTGCTGTGGCTGCTGCTGCTGTGGGGGAACGCCCCCACCGGTCGGGCCTCCACCTGTGGGTGGGCCTGTCTGTCCAGCACCTCCTCCAAGGCCCCCTCCCCCTGGTGCACCACCGCCGCCGCCTCCGCCGCCTCCGCCACCACCGCCGCTCCCACCTCCACCGCCACCTCCACCGCCGCCTCCACCGCCCCCACCTCCCCCCTTTCCGCCCTTCTTGCCACTCTTGCCCCGTTTCTGCCAGTCTGCGGCAGAAACGGCAGCGGTGTCCTCAGAAACCGACACAGCAGCAGAAGCGCGGGTAGCAGTGAAAGTGGGAAGCTGAGGGGCGGCACACCCCGCAAAGAGACGGGGGGCCACCGCATCAGTGGCGGAGGCAACGGTGAGGAGGCTGCTCTCGATGGTCCCGAGAGCAGTCTGAAGGAGGTCTATAGTGAGCTCAGTGGGGTGCTTCTGAAGAAGCGCGTCGCGGGCAGTGGCAAGGCGGTCAGGGAGGCGGGTGACTAACCAGTGCACAGTGAGCCACATGGGGGGGGGAGCAACAAGGAGCTGTGCGTCGGTACAGGCAGCACGAAAACCGGCGTCAAGCGAGCGGAGGTGAGTCACTAGGTCGGAAACAGTGGCAAACGAGCCTAGGTCGGGAAACACAAACGGCATGAGGAGGCGACTGAGGGAGGCGGAGGAGGGGGTGGAGTAGCGGGCAACAATAGCATCCCACACCCCCTTGGCTGTCTCCACCTGGTCAAAGTGGGCGGCCTCAGTCGGGGGGAGAAGCTCCGACAGTGTGAGAGCGGCGGCAGCGTCACGCGAGAGCCACACGTCCCTGGCCAGGACCCGACGGTCGTACTCCGCCTGGGCCGTAGGGGTCGGCTCCGGGGTGGTCGGCAGGGCGGCGGGGGACGGGGGGGCCTGTAGGGCACCAGACGCGTGAGCCCACAGAGTGGCGCCGTCCTGTCGCTGGCTGGTGAGGAAGCGTGTGGTCTGGCGCTGCCAGGTACCGAACTCGATTGGGCGTCCCTCCGCATCGAAACGGAGGCGACGGGCCTCCATAGCGGAGCCCATGCTAGAGGCGGCTGGAGCACGGCGGAGGCGGAGCTAAGAACGAGGAGGAGGAGGACATAGACTAGGCGTGAAATCGTGGATCGCCAGCTACAGGTGCGAGGAGCGAGGTATGAGTGGCTAAAACGGCTCTAACCTAGGTGACCGGCGAGGGAGAGCGGCTGCCAGCCGCTGAGGGATAGACCAGTGTCAGCAGATTTGGGGAGGGCCTCGCGCACAAGGCGGCGGTGGGGCTAAGGTGATGAGCAGTGAGAGAGGGGAGGGGAGGGCGGTTTTGACGGTGGGAATGGGCGGGAGGGCGGTTTTGACGGTGGGAATGGGCGGGGAGGGCGGTTTCGACGGTGGGAATGGGCGGGAGGGCGGTTTGGACGGTGGGAAAGGGCGGGTGGGCGGTTTTGACGGTGGGGATGGGCGGGGGCCAGGGCGACGGGCTAGGGCGCGGGCCTGGGCGACGGGCTACGCGCGGGCCTGGGCGACGGGCTAGGCGCGGGCCTGGGCGACGGGCTAGGCGCGGGCCTGGGCGACGGGCTAGGCGCGGGCCTGGGCGACGGGCTAGGCGCGGGCCTGGGCGACGGGCTAGGCGCGGGCCTGGGCGACGGGCTAGGCGCGGGCCTGGGCGACGGGCTACGCGCGGGCCTGGGCGACGGGCTAGGCGCGGGCCTGGGCGACGGGCTACGCGCGGGCCTGGGCGACGGTTGACGCGACGGGCAGGGGGAAGGGAGGCGACGCGACGGGCAGGGGGACGGGAGGTAACGCGACGGGGAGGGGAAGGGGAGGGCACGGAGGGGGGGGTTACTAAGGGGCGCGACGTGGGGCGGGCTGAGGGCCGCGCTAAGGGGCGCGAGGGCGCTAGGAGCGCGGAGAGCGCGGAGGGCGCTAGGCGTGACGGAGGGCGCGGAGGGCGCTAGGCGCTACGGAGGGCGCGGAGGGCGCTAGGCGTGACGGAGGATCGATACCTACTCGTGATACCATCTCAAAGTCTACATGCAACGGAATGATTGGAATTAGGGTTTGCAAGCATACAAATAGGAGTCCTACAAATGTTGTACCCTTTAGGGAGTGCCTCACTGCAGCCTATCATAACATTAACATTTGACATTGCGAATCAACATTACACTGAAATTTTAAGCTGCACTTGACATATAATGAGAATTATATGATATCGTAACATAACTTTGATATTTGATGAACTACTGCTATTTACATATAGATTGACATATAATATAGGTTTACATATATGAATAGGGGTGGTCGTTTTGGATATAGATTCTGAATGTTAAGAACATTCTTTATGTTAAGTTATTCTTATTCTGTTCAGATTATTTGGTTTTATGGTGACTGGAAATCTGGAAACAACAAAACTACAAAACGAAGCAGAATTTCCAGAATCAATGTGCACGACCGGACTTGAGCCGCCGACCTTCGCGATTAAAGCCCGAGTCTAGAATGGCAAAGGTTCAACTTCAAGATTCTTGAACTTGTTTTCGTCAAGAACAGGGTAACCAGGTTCAGAAAGCTGATCTCTCGCTACCCACCGGGAAGGGAGTTGGTGGGCCAGAAGGTGATTGGCCAAATGCCCCACAGCAAAAACACGGACGAGCCTCGCCAGAAACAAACAAAGGCAAGTATCACTGTTCACACTTTCAGAACTTGAAACTCGACAATACCTTTCTAGACTCGTAGCATAGTGGGCTCCATAGCCCATATTCTCTGTCAATAGTCAGCATAGTTACGCCCATCTCCCTGCCGTATGCTAAGACTTTTGTAGCTCATAAAGATGGAGCTTCCCGGCGACTCTTTCGCGCGTAACAAATCCGATCTCGTAGCCAGCAAGGAAGGCATGACCCTCAGAGTGATCGCCACCGTGAGACTTACTCGTCGCCGCTGAAGGTTATCCTAGCCTGGACTTAATGCCGGTCCGCAATCGCTCAAGGCCCGCCCTCACTCCCGTCGTCGTCACTCCCGTCGTTCTCCCTCTCCCGTCAAACTCTCTTTCCCGTCGCGCTCTCACTCCCGTCACTCTCTCACTCGCGTCGCGCTCTCACTCCCGTCGCTCTCTCACTCACGTCGCGCTTTCACTCCCGTCGCTCTCTCACTCCCGTCGCTCTCTCCTTCCGGCGCGCTCTCACTCTCGTCGCTCTCTCGCTCCCGTCGCGCTAATTCTACCGTCGCTCTCTCACTTCTTTGCGCTCTCACTCCCGTCGCTCTCTCACTCCCGCCGCGCTCTCACTTCCCTCGCTCTCTCACTCCCGTCGCTCTCTCTTTCTGGCGCGCTCTCACTCTCGTCGCTCTCTCGCTCCTGTCGCGCTCATTCTACCGTCGCTCTCTCACTTTTTGCGCTCTCACTCCCGTCGCTCTCTCTCTCTCCCGCCGCGCTCTCACTCCCGTCGCTCTCTCACTCCCGTCGCTCTCTCACTCCCGTCGCTCTCTCACTCCCGTCGCTCTCTCACTCCCGTCGCTCTCTCACTTCCGTCGCGCTCTCACTTCCCTCGCTCTCTCAGTGACTGCCGCTCTCTCACTCCCATCACCCACGCACGTCGCTCGCACATGTCGCTCACACGTGACTCACACGACTCACTAACACATGTCGCTCATATCTGCTCCTCTTACCCTCTTCCCCCTTTGCGCTCCCCCCGGTTCCTCCTCTGCCCATCTTCCCCGTCACTCACACACGACACACACAACACACAAGACATGCTCACACATGTTCCCATCTCCCCTCTCCTCCCTTCCCTCTCCGCTCCTCTCCTCCCTTCCCTCTCTGTCCCCCTCCTTCCCTTCTCTGTCTTCGCCTCGCCTCCCTTCCCATTCATCCCCTCCCCTTCCTTTCCCTTTCGTCTTCTTTCCTTCCTTCCATCTGTCCATTCACCGGGAAGAATTGAGAGGGGGACTGAAGAGCCTTCTCTTCCCTCCTGCCTCACTCACTCCCGTCTGTTACCTACATCAATCCTGTTTATCATTCCAGTCACTTGCTTTCCTGACTGTCCCACTCCTCCCTTCCCTCTCTCACACCCTCTCCCTCTCACACCGCTTCCGTCTACCACTAATGAAACTGGCGTGCATCCCCGTGACGCAGGGTGCAGGTGATGGCGGCGTGTGTGCGTGGCTATGTGGCATTGTGAATGTTGGGGGGAAGGGGGGGAATGGAAGGCGGAAGGGAATGGGAGACGTCGCCCACGTCGCTCCCGTCACTCCCTTCCCTTTGGGCCCGACCCTCTCCGCCTCTCGCCCCTTCCGTCGTCGCCTCTCCACTTTCCCTTTCCCTTTCCCCCATGTCCTCCTTCTTCTTATGACGTCTCCCCTGTTACCCCCCTCACCCTCACCTCAGCTTTACTCCAACTCCACTCGCCCCTGCTGCCCCTAGGTGCCACATGGTAGCGTGGTTGGTGACCTCTCCATACGTCCCTCGCTATTTCGTCGTCGCCACTCCCCTGTCTGCCTCTCTCGTCCAATCCCTCTAAGATCATCCCCTCCGTTCCCTTTCGGCCCCTCTCGCCCCTCCTTCCTCAGCCCCTCTCCTCCTTTCCCTCTCAGCCCCTCTCCTCTTTTCCCTCTCAGTGCCTCTTCTCCTTTACCTCTCAGCCTCTCATCTCCGCCTTTCCCTCTCAGCCCCTCTCCTCCTTTCCCTCTCAGCCCCTCTCCGCCTTTCCCTCTCAGCCCCTCTCCTTCTTTCCCTCTCAGCCCCTCTCCGCCTTTCCCTCTCAGCCCCTCTCCGCCTTTCCCTCTCAGCCCCTCTCCTCCTTTACCTCTCAGCCATTTTCCCCCTTTATCTCTCCTCTGCCCGCTCTGCCCTTTCCTCTACCTTCCCTATTCTTATCTCCACCAACATTCCCTTCAATGAGCTCGCCATGTCTCTCCCTCCCTGTTTCTTGTCCTTCAAAACGTTTCCCTCCATGCCATCACTCAGGTGCCCATCGAAGCTGCATCACATAGTCTCTTTCGTTTGCCATCTCTTCCTTCATTGTGCTTCTCTGCATTGGTCTCACGTCACACTCTTCTACCATCTTTCCACCACCCATTCCACCATACCCACCCTTGCACCCATCCCTCACCCTTCCACTCTGTGCCTTACTCACTCCTTTGCTGTTTCTGTCCTTTGTTCACTTTCCCTTTGCTCTCTCTGTCATCTTGCTCACCCTGTCCCTTGCTCACTCAAACATTTGCTGTTTCTGTCCTTTGCCCCATTTTCCCCTGCTCACCCTTCAATCTCTGCCCCTGCCACCCGATGACTGTCTACCACTCTCCTGGTTTCCCTCTCTGCCTCTCTGTTGCATTCCTTGTTGTCATTCCCCTCCCATTCCGTCCTCTGCACGCGATCCATACCGCCTTTCACCATATGCTTCCCTGCTGCTCAGCCATCTCACATCTTATTTCCTGATTTGTGTTTGTACAGGTCCGCCATACATTATTGCTGGTGCTGTGGTGATGTGTTGGCTGGCAGTTTGATAGTACTATAATGACTCGCCATTCAATGTTTTGATCTTGGATGCTTTGTTATAATACAAACTCTGAGCTGAGGAGCAGCCCTGCACATGACCACTTCACAAAAGTGCAACAAAATTCACAATTGATTTCGACACAAAGAAGACAGCTAGGAAATGTAAGGTTTTCTTGTTTGATACACAGCATGCAACCTTGGCATGTGGTGCTGGGATCCTGGGACCTGTACACTGCGTGGTTGGAGATGGGGGTGAGTGAAAGGGGGAACAGAGCGAGGAGGGGAGAAGAGAATGAGTAGGGGGCTCAGAGAATGAACAGGAGGGGGATGGGAGGGGGATGGGAGGGGGATGGGAGGGGGGATGGGAGGGGGATGGGAGGGTGTTGGGAGGGGGATGGGAGGGGGATGGGAGGGGGGTGGGAGGGCGATGGGAGGGGGATGGGAGGGGGGTGGGAGGGCGATGGGAGGGGGATGGGAGGGCGATGGGAGGGGGATGGGAGGGGGTTGGGAGGGGGACGGGAGGGGGATCAGAGGGGGATGGGAGGGGGATGAAGTGGGGACGGGAGGGTGATGGGAGGGGGATGGGATGGGGACGGGAGGGGGATCAGAGGGGGATGGGAGGGGGATGAAGTGGGGACGGGAGGGGGATGGGAGGGTGATGGGAGGGGGATGGGAGGGGGATGGGATGGGGACGGGAGGGGGATCAGAGGGGGATGGGAGGGGGATGAAGTGGGGACGGGAGGGGATGATGGGAGGGCGATGGGAGGGCGATGGGAGGGGGACGGGAGGGGGGTGGTAAGTCGACGGGAGGGAAAGCGAGGGCGGGAAAGCGAGGGCGACGGGAGGGAAGCGAGGGCGACGGGAGGGGAAAGCGAGCGCGATGGGCGGGTGAAGCGAGCGCGATGGGCGGGGGAAGCGAGCGCGATGGGCGGGGGAAGCGAGCGCGATGGGCGGGGGAAGCGAGCGTGATGGGCAGGGAAGCGAGCGCGATGGGCGGGGGAAGCAAGGGCGATGGGCGAGGGACTGTGGCGACGGACGGTGGATGCAAGAGATCGACGGACGGGGGAAGCGAGGTCGACGACGCTCTAATTTCTCATCTCGTGCCGCGCTATATGCATTCGCGCCACATTCCCTCCCTCGGTCCACAAATTCCTCTCGATTCCGGCATAATAGCATATATTTTCACAGGACATACCTAAATATATTACTCTGGATACTTACTAGTTTCCTAACACAGATGCTCTGCCTATCTGGACTTGCGCACGCTTCTCAGCCTGCCCCAAGGGTGCGTTTGCGGACTAGGCGATAATCTGGGTTGTGAGTCGCGTGGGGGTGGTTGGGTTTGGTTTTGTTGTTAGTGTTTGTTCAAGTTTCTTGAAGCCGAAATTGAAGTTGCGATGCAGTGTAGAGCATTCCGCCTTCGCCACCTTCCCCCGGCGAATTTTTCTCTCGTCAACCTTCGCACAACCCTTTTCAAGTTCAGTATTTATGAACCCTTGCCATTCTAGACGCGGGCTTTAAACGCGACTTCGATAGCGCTGTGCCTAACACGCTGTCACATTTTGGCGCTAAACTAGTAAGTAAATAATTGCGATGAAAAACGTCCCATCCTAGGGTTTCGTCAAATTCCTTTTTGCTTCGTTTCTCTTCCAACTTCTCACGCCACTCTAGCTTCTCCCGTCCCTCACGTCACTCACGCTACTCACGCCCCAGACTAGTGCTCATATTAAGGTAAGCCATATTCTCTCTATTTCTTAAGCTCATTCTAGTTGAGAGTGGGTCCTAGTTTAACTCATTATGGTTGAGAGTTTGTTTTTTAAACGAGATCTAGACGTATATGTTAACCAGAAGATGATGTATCATCCTGTCAAATGTTGGTAGCCTGTAGTGAGATGTGTCTTTGGGGGTACGTATGTTAGGGTTTGCTACTTGTACCCCAACCACCATCAATGAAACAACACTTCCGATCTTGAGATGGTATCACCTAGGTTAGGATCCTGTAGGATCCCGTTCCTCCCGACCTCGTTCGTATCGCCCGAGCCTGTCTCCCTCTCTCGTATTACTTACGCACGTCTTGCCCGAGCCTAGCGCCGGCCCGCTCTCGTCCCGTTCCTTCGTTACCGCACGTTCCGCCGATCCCCTACTCGAGTAGCGTAGCGACCTTCCTCCCCCCTGCTGGCCCATCGCGTTTTCCCCCCTCCGAGGCCCGTCGAGTCGCGTTTTTTCCCCCCGCTGCCCGTCGAGTCGCGTTTTTCCCCCCGCTGCCCGTCGAGTCGCGTTTCCCCCCTTGCTGCCCGTCGA